AAACCGTAGAGATACAGAACCTTCACCAATGCTTTTCACTAATTGAGAGGGCTTTTCAATCTATCATTGCGAAAGGATTCATCGAAGCCTTATACAAGTTATTGCCCCTGAAGTTTTTTTGCAGTTTACGTAACTTGAAAAAAAAAATTTAACGCTTAGACGTAGAGACATGGGACCAACTGAAATGGATTCTTGCATTTTTGTTCTTGATGTTAAGGTCAAGGTCAAAGGTCAAGGTCATCCAAAATATGAGAAATATAGAATATATGAAGGGGGGACGTTAAACCAATATTAATGTATGAAATAAACTATTCCATGCTTTCATTATCTTGTTTTCTTCTTAAAATGCATGTAGAACATTTTATTTATCATAGCTGCATTTAATATAACCCACAGGGAAACTTGTTTCATTCAGGAATCGTCTTACTGAACCTGCAACAATCTTAGGATCCACAGTCAGGCCGCTTTGAGTCCAATCCATGTTTTCCCATATGACGACCTACATAGTACATACCATTAGCCTCGAGTCCGATTTATTTCATCGGCAACTTTTCTAAGTAGTTTAACTAAATCAGAACATTTAACACCTCAAATTAAACCTTTGAATGCATAATGCACAGAAATAGAAATACGATATGCACAGTAAAACACATGTCACGCATTGTACTTCCATGGTAACTATGTAAACAAATGCCATAAACACGGAAGCAAAAAAGAAGAGAGAGAGAGAAAAAAGAGAGAGGAAGAGAAAGGAAGAGAGAAGGGGGAAGAGAGAAAAATTGGCCCCTAAATCGCAAAAAAAAAAAAAAAAAAAAAAAAAAAAATCTTTTTTTGGAGCTGCGCGAAGACCTTTTGAACTCTACAGAGAAACGAACCCGACAATAAATCTATAGCAAAAGACGAATTTTTGAGTTTATTTATTTTCTTGTACTTTTCTTCTTCTTTCTTTTGTTCTTTTGAAAGCCAAATGATATGGAAACATGTTTCTCAAAACTATTCAATTCCGATAACTACGTTGTACAACAATTTTTTTAAAATTCCTAAATAGGTAGTTTACTGCATACATCTTCATCGGAATTCGTGGCGTAGTGGTCTGCCTTTCAAGCTAAGGGTTCTGAGTTCGATCCCTGCTGGAAGAACTTTTTTTTTTTTTTTTTTTTGCATTTTTGCATTTTTCTTCTTTTTTTACAGCCCAAATTACATGGAAACACTTAAAAAGGTGGAAAGACCTCTAATTGTTCTGTGAACAATTAGTCTACTAGTTATTATTATTATTCTTTTTCTTCCTGGACTTTTGAAACCGCAAGACTTATCGAAAAACTTTATAGTTCATGATACTGGATATTAAAAGTTATTCCGAAAAACGACCCAACGTGTTTGACCTATGACCTCTTACGAAGTTATTGCCCCTTTCGCAAGAATAGCTTGTTATCGCTACTCCTTTGAAACCGTAAATCGTAGAGATACAGAACCTTCACCAATGTCTTTGACTACTTGAGAGGACTTTTCAATCTATTCATTGCGAAATGATTTGTCGACCCCTTCAATGAGTTATTGCCCCTGAAAGTTTTTGAAGTTTACAAATAATGAAACATTTTCAAAACGATAAGTCGTAGAGACATGGAACCAACTGCATTAGATTCTTTGACCTCAGACCTTGAAATTTTTGTAAAGGTCAAAGGTCAAGGTCATTCAAAATTTTAGAAATTAAGCTCTTTTTATATCTCTTTTGTCTTTCATTATATACTAAATCTCTTTGCATCTTTAATATGTCCTCTTAAAACTATTTCAAAGATGTCATACTTGTCCCCTAAGATTTACCTTTTAAAAGTTATTGCCCCTTTCACTGAAAACCTTGTTATCGCTACTACTCCGAAACCGTAAACCGCAGAGACACGAAACCTTCACTAATGTCCTCAGGGCCTTTAGACACAACTTCAATCTATTCAGTGCGAAAGGATCCGATGACCCCTTATATGAGTTATCGCCCTTTAACGTCTTTGTTCTGACTATTAAACCTTATAACTTTAAAACTAAAAGTCGTAGAGGCATGGGGTCAAGTGCAATGTGACCCTTGACTTATGAACTTAAAATTGTTCAAGGTCAAAGGTCAAGGTCATTCAATTTTTTTTTAAATTTCATTTTTTCCATCTCTCAAGCCATTTCTTGTTTCTTTTGTATAAAAATAAACAATAGAGAGTTAAATATGAAAAATATATGAAATTTAAAGAAGGTGGAAAGACCTCTAATTGTTCGAGAACAATTAGTCTACTAGTTAGGTCTTTCCACCTTTCTGTGGAAAGACCTCTTGAAATGCTTCTGTTTATTATTATTATTATTATTATTATTATTATTTTTCCGCTACGGCCTTTTGAACCGAAACACTTATCGAAAAACTTTATCGTTCATGGTACTTGACATCAAAAGTTATTTCGAAAAACTACCCAACGAGTATGACCTATGACCCCTTTTGGAGTTCTTGCCCCTTGTATGAAAAACCTTGTTATCGCTACTCCTTCGAAACCGTAAACCGTAGATGTGTGGAACCTTCACTGATGTCTTCGACTAATTGAGGGGACTCTTCAATCTTTTCATTGCGAAAGTATTCGTGGACCCCTTTAATGAGTTATTGCCCCTGAAAGTTTATGATGTTTACAAATAATTAAAAATTTTCAAAACGATAAGTTGTGGAGACATGGTACCAACTGCATAAGATTCAATGACCTTTGACCTTAAAATATATCAAAGGTCAAAGGTCAAGGTCACTCCAAAAATGAGAAATTAAGCTCTTTTTATATCTTTTTTGTCTTTCAACATATACTATATATCTTTCCATCTTTAATATGTGCTCTTAAAACAATTTAAAATATTTTATACTTGTCCCCAAAGTTTGACCCCTTTAAAAGTTATTGCCCTTTTTATTAAAAACCTTGTTATCGCTACTCCTCCGAAACCGTAGACCGTAAAGACGTCAAACCTTCACTAATGTCCTCAGGGTCTTTAGACACAACTTCAATTTATTCAGTGCGAAAGGGTCCAATGACCCCTTATATGAGTTATTGCCCTTTAATGTCTTTGCGCTTACTATTAAACCTTATAACTTTAAAACCAAAAGTCGTAGAAGCATAGGGTCAAGTGCAATTTGACCCTTGACCTTTGACCTTTAATATTTGTTCAAGTCAAAGGTCAAGGTCATTTCAAAATTTTTAAAATTTTCATTTTTTCCATTTTTCAAGCAATTTCTGGTTTCTCTTGTAAAAAAATAAACAGTAGAGAGTTAAATATGAAGAATATATGAAATTTAAAGAAGGTGGAAAGACCTCTAATTGTTCGAGAACAATTAGTCTACTAGTTATTATTATTTTTCTTCCCGGACTTTTGAAACCGCAAGACTTATCGAAAAACTTTATAGTTCATGATACTGGATATTAAAAGTTATTCCGAAAAACGACCCCCCATGTTTGAACTTTGACCTCTTACGAAGTTATTGCCCCTTTCGCAAGAATAGCTTGTTATCGCTACTCCTTCGAAACCGTAAACCGTAGAGGTACGAAACCTTCACCAATGTCTTTGACTAATTGAGGGGATTCTTCAATCTATTCATTGCGAAAGAATTTGTTGACCACTTCAATGAGTTATTGCCCCTGAAAGTTTTTGATATTCATGAAAAATTAAAAATTTTCAAAACCATAAGTCGTAGAGACATGAAACCAACTGCATTGAATTCTTTGACATTTGACCTTGAAATTTATGTCAAGGTCAAAGGTCAAGGTCATTCAAACTATGAGATATTTATAACTCTCTTGTCTTTCAACATATACTATATGCCTTTGCATCTTTAATATGTCCTTCTAAAACTATTTCAAAGATTTCATTCTTGTCCCCTAAGCTTAACCCCTTTGAAAGTTATTGCCCCTTGTGCGAAAAACCTTGTTATCGCTACTCCTCTGAAACCGTAGACCGTAGAGACATCAAACCTTCACTAATGTCTTCAGGGTCTTTAGACACAACTTCAATCTATTCAGTGCGAAAGGATCTGATGACCCTTTATATGAGTTATCGCCCTTTAACGGCTTTGCGCTTAATAGTAGGCCTTATAACTTTAAAAGTATAAGTCCTAGAAGCATGAAACTAATTGCAATGTGATTCTTGACCTTTGACCTTTAATGTGTGCTAAAGGTCAAAGGTCAAGGTCATTTCAAAATTTTCAAAATTTTCATTTTTTTCTATTTTCAAGCCATTTCTGGATTCTTTTTGTATAAAAATTAACTTTAGAGAGTAAAATATAAAAATTAAAGAAATTTAAAGAAGGTGGAAAAACCTCTAATTGTTCGAGAACAATTAGTCTACTAGTTTTATTAGAGTTGACAATGGCTGACCCATACTAGTTTTATTAGAGATGACAATGGACCTTACCCTGACTAGTTTTATTAGAGGTGACATTGGACCTGACCCTGACTAGTTTTATTAGAGGTGACAATGGACCTGACCCTGACTAGTTTTATTAGAGGTGACAATGGACCTGTCCCCGACTAGTTTTATTAGAGGTGACAATGGACCTGTCCCTGACTAGTTTTATTAGAGGTGACAATGGCTGACCCTGACTAGTTTTATTAGAGGTGACAATGGACCTGACCCTGACTAGTTTTATTAGAGGTGACAATGGACCTGACCCTGACTAGTTTTATTAGAGGTGACAATGGACCTGATCCTGACTAGTTTTATTAGAGGTGACAATGGCTGACCCTGACTAGTTTTATTAGAGGTGACAATGGACCTTACCCTGACTAGTTTTATTAGAGGTGACAATGGCTGACCCTGACTAGTTTTATTAGAGGTGACAATGGACCTTACCCTGACTAGTTTTATTAGAGGTGACAATGGACCTGTCCCTGACTAGTTTTATTAGAGGTGACAATGGTTGACCCTGACTAGTTTTATTAGAAGTGACAATGGACTTTACCCTGACTAGTTTTATTAGAGGTGACAATGGACCTTACCCTGACTAGTTTTTCGGAGTCGCCCCTCCACTTACTGACTATACTGGAGGCTGATATATTGAAGAATGTTGTATTACACTCTGTGGCTATTGCTTTGGCAAGCAGGGTCTTTCCTGTACCTAAAAATAAACACACACATTTGGACATATTAAGATCAATATTTAATGCAAGAAAAAAAATGTACTCCTTTTCATTGAAAAAAAAACACACTAATAATTGCATTTGGCTATGACTTGTAAAGTAAACAAGTAAGATTTAGGGTTACTTAAAGAGTTTTTACATTTAATCACTGAATCATAAAAAAGACAATTATTGCTGTTTTTTCAGTCAACACAATGATTTAGCCACCTTCGAAGTACAATATTCACCTCGTCCTTCAGGCTTGGTGAATATTGTACTCATCAGATGGCTAAAAACAGCAATAATTGTATAATATCAAGCAAGTGAGACAGATCCTCTTTCTGAAACAAAGCAGAGCAAATTAAGAATACATACCAGGAGGACCATATAACAGCAGTCCCTTCCAGGGGGAGAGAATACCTTTAAATAACTGGGGATACTGAATGAATTAGAAAAAAAAAAAAAGAATACAAATACATGTGGTTACAATGTCCAAGAAAAAATGAAGTCAACTTTCTATTGGAAAAAGGAGATAAAAAACAGAAATTTGACATGATTTATGTGTTTAAGAAAGATGTCTCACTTTAATTGGATAAACTACAGCCTCCTTAGCCAATCGCTTAGCTTCTTCTACACCAATGATATCATCCCACTTTACATTGGGATTTTCTGAATAAATGTCCTGCAAGATATAAGGGATTAAACATATTAAATTTAATGCAAAAAATATATGTGTTAGCTTTTGTCCTGGTTGAAGCATTCAAGAAAAGCAGAAATCCTTGGAATTTATCTTTCAGTGTATGATTTAGCTATGACTTACTCTACTAATCACTTGAGCTAACTCCCTCCATTCACTATTATAACCAACATATCCTCCCAGAGGCTTCAGAAGACGGTCCTGAAAAATTCCCCACAAATTTTGTAAAGTCACTTCCCACTCCAATCTTAAAATGGTGAATATGTATTAGAAAAAACTTGAGATCAAAGAATATAGTCTCTTTAATGTTTTCAATCATATGAATGGTGATTGTGAAGGCCATCTTGCTAAAATCTGTGAAAGACTTATGTATAATACTGACCTGACCATCTATCCCTTCCTCTGCATTCAGTTTTGTGGCTTCGTTAATCATAGATCTGATGTCTATTATCTGCCCTGGCTACAACACAACAGTAACTAAATCAGACAAGTATGTGACTGCATTTAGCTCTGCTAAGAGAGATAACTCTATGTTAGATTATGAATTTCCTTTACATAGTGTATGAAACTTGATTTTACTTTTTAACTCCTAATGTTCTGTTAAAAAAAAATATATAACATTTACAACAAAAATCTCTCTTGGTGAGAAGAGGGAAATTAAAAATTACACTTTAATTAATGATAAAAGAAGGAGGAAGATTCTACCCTGCCCCTCTTTTGTGCTGGATCCTCCACCGGTCTGTTGTCAGGGTTATTATTGCTGCCCTGGACAGTCAAACCTTGTAGGGCAAGGCCTGGGTCACTTCCATTTGTCACACCATTCATCTAAAAAAATGAGGAAAACAAAACATTATAGAGATTAGTTTATTATATGCAACACACAAAGAATATGGCTGCACTTGAAAACAAAATTATTCCGTTTGTTCATCACCAATTTTTCAAAGTGGCAATCATTTACATTTGACAGACTTTATTTCTTTAAATTAAAAATAAAATGAATAAATAACTACTTAGTGCTGCCAAAATAGTGTTGGGCTTGTGTTATCAGGATTAGTTGCTGATATATTTTTAGGACCAAAAAAAGAAAAAACAAAAACAAAAAATTAAAAAAAACATAAAATCAAAATCAAATCAGGAATAAATAAAATCTACAGGACAAACTGAATTTGTCTCAACTACATACGGTTTTTAAATGTTCACTATATACACATGTGGGAGGACAACAATATTTTCTCAACCCTGAAGCATGCTTTAAATATACATATTACATCAACCAACAAAGCTAGCATGCCATTAGGCAAAATCAGATTTCTTCTGATTACAAAACACAAAGCTACAGAATAAATAAACACAAAAACACAAACTAGCAACCATTTATATAGATCTGCAATAACAAGTACAAAATAAAATGTATCGTGTTGTATACTAGACAAATGAAAAATTAGTGTTGAGTACCTTTACATATATACACTGAAAGTTAAGTTAAAAAGTTTGAGATCTCTATATATTCTATGTGCTTATATCATGAAACAGAAGTGGAAAAGTTTTAGAACTGCAGCTTTGCCACACTTTAAGAAGCACCCAAGCCATAGTGTGAATTTAGAAGTCTGATGTTAAGAAAGATTGTGTCCTAAAGTGAAAGTAATCTAATTTTCTTTAAGCCCCCAGGACCAAAGATTTGGTTCTACTTCTGTTGCATTCCTGGGTTTCAGAATTAAACAAAATTAACCCATTCCTGTGTAAAACAATTAAAGAAAATTAACCCATCTAAATTGGTATGGCCCCTGTTTGGAACAAGCATTAATTAATCTACCATGCATGCATTTGATTTGTTACTCATGTCATTTTTTATTTTTTATTGGTAACTGGGTGAGAATAAAATCTGGTTGACATTAGGCACACATGGCAGACATGTGACTGCAGTCACATTACTGAGGAATCAGCTGACTTACTTTCATCATTTCTCTATAAGTCTGAAGAACACAAGTACATCTCTTAACAATAATCTCACGGTTAATAAAATTGTAGGTTTTTAGTTTTAATAGCTCACCTAGTCCACATAATTTATTTTTTTTTCCTTTTACATTTTTTTTTTAAAAATGAAAATAGATGCTTATTACATTCAATCAAAGACAGTATTATAAATGTCAACAATCTGAATGTGCATTGATGATTTTTTACATTATTTTTAAAATTACGGTATTTTTGGTCGGATATTCATTTAGCTCTATTAAACTCTGGATCTTTAATTTATGACTGCATTGATGTGAACAGACTATGAAGTTCTATAAACAAATACATGTACATACATATATACCAGTATTAATATATGATTTACAAAATGGTATATTAGCTGTTTATTGTTTAATTATCTATAAAATAGCATTGTCACACAAATCAATCTGCTTTATTTACCTTCAAGTTATTGCCCTTAAACTACATAAAAATTTACAATCATAACCCAAGATTATCATGCATTTTTGTATCTGTAAAATGAAGATATATTAACTTGTCTACATTGGCGATCTTTGTGACATATTTTTTCATTAGCTGTGGATTCATGAAGTAGAAAAGAGGTGAAAATGTCAGAAAATTTCATTACCTTGATTTCATTATCAGACACAACCACTCGGCACAACTAAAAAAGGTGGAAGAAGGAAGTTTGATGTTGTCATAGCAACTTGACATCACCCTCAGATAGATAATGAAATTTTTGACAAGAAGTAACAATGAAGATGTGCAAGTGAGGCTGACGAGAGAACACACGATGTAGCTACTGTGTCAAAAAAAAAATCTTTACCAAAACAAAGTCAGAGTCAATGGTAGGAACACCAAATCAAATATCTCATCACATGAGGTCAAGATTAGTACTTGAGGAGTGTAAAAGTACCTGATTGACTGACATTTAATTAAGGAACTTGAAAAATGCCTGTTTTGACACAGTAACTGTTTAATATTCTAAAAAAACTTGAAAACACTGTCATGCAGAAGTTAAGACATTTTAATTTATCATACTGATTCTGGTAAAGGGGCAACATATGACATATCACTATAATTGAACTATTATAGGAACGTAATGATTTAAGGGTATTAGATTCTGCACTATTAAAATGAATAATAATCCTTGCTGTATTTAGGAAATAAGTCTCTGAGGCTAAAATAAAGCAAGTATAAATTCAATCATCACTGCACTTCTACAGGAGCAGAACAACAGGACTGAGCTATTTACCATTTTCTCGTTCCTGTCAGGCATTCCGTTTGGCCGTCTGGTAGATGACTGTGTCGCCCGAGGTTGCCTCCCTCCTGGCTGTACCCCTGACTTTGGCCTTCCACCGGACACTGGGGGAGGGGGACTGGCTCTTCCATTCTGTGGAATTCTGGGTAGAGATGGAGTTGTGGAAGCTGAGTTTTTGCTGTAATGTGATTGGCAGATGATATGAAACGCCATGAATGCCGCTAGCCAAGAAAAATGATGATGAAAAATAGCAGAGAAGTAGATTAGATTAAAATCTTATATAATTAACATGTGACTTAAAATTGTGTTGATTCATGGATAAGCCAGTCTTATTCTAATATTCTGCATAGCTATAAAAGTTAATGAGCTATGCTACTGTAAATCTTTCATTATCAACAATATTTTTTCTAAACATACTAATACGATGCACATATTATGAGCTATGATAAATGAATCTTGGGTATATTAATTTACGACTAAGAGTATACACTCTTGAGTTATAGAATTGCTGTATAATTATGACTGGGGGACATGAATGCATAAAAATAAATGAAATTATTTCATAGTACCAGTACATGTACATGTAATAAAATTGTATAATTTTCATCTTACAAAAATTGATGACATATTTGGCAGAGTTATACATGTTCTGTGGTAGTAGTATGAAGCATGTCTTTCTTCCTGTTTTGTTTTGATGTGTCATCAAAAGTGTCACTGTATGACATTTCAATTCAGAAATTGCTGGGATCAAAATACTTTATGTTCTTTTGGTGAACACTTGCAAATGAATCTGAATATGTAGTATGCCTGGAGAGTTTGTTTCAAAAAATAGTACTTTATTAATTAAGTGTTTATTAATAAATTAAAGATCTGTCTCATGCAGGTGCAATAATTAATATGAAAATACTGATGAATAATGATTATGATTTGTAAGAGATGGGGTGTGTGCAAGTGAAAATATTAAGAATACATGTTCACAAAAAGCATCAAGCCTCTAAATCATTTTGAGCCCACAGTGTATAGATTTGATTTATGCTATCATTAAAATCAGAACACAATAAATATGGGAAATACATAAGAAGGGTGCATTTGAATTCTCGAAAAATCCCCCAAAACAGTTTTCTAGGGTACTTATTCTATGGAATAATTAGCATGTAAATTAAACTATTTTAAAAAATTGGTACATGTATATTGCATTAAATCTTGTCTCTTTTAAAGTAAAATATTTTTAAATGTTTCATTTTGTTAAAAGATATAATTTTAAGCTAATGATTTTATTTTTTATGCTAAAAATTTCCTCAAAAATTAGTTTAAATCGTGCTTTAAGCACAAAAATAGCACTACACACTGCCCTGTGATCACCAATTAAATAGCATGCTCTCTAATTAAGGAGGTGGAGATGTTATACAATATGGCTGGCTCTATAGTGTCTCCACCTGGTGTTCAGTTACATACCCGCTGTGTTGATGAGCAGACTGAGAACCTGATCTCACTCGCCGTGTCAAACTTTTTGACAAATATATAATAAATTTAAAATTCTTTAAAACATATAAATAAAGCTCATCTTTGCTTTCATGGGTTATAATTTTAAAATTGATATGAGCAGAGATTATAAGTGAGGTTAGAATATGTAAGTGTTGCAAAGCTTGTATATGACGAAAGCATAAGAGTTGATCGCAGCAAAGCAGAATAATACTTCTCAAAAATGTACAAAATATTTTGACTTTAAACATTCGCATATTTAAAAAAATACTAGTATGTCTTCAATGAAAATGTCGTTATTAGTTCATGTATAAACAAAAAGTGAAAATCCAGGTCAAGGTCACCAATTTTGTTGTAAATGTACACTTCATTTTAAGAAATGGCTTAACTTTCCTTCTAGATGCAGAATGTGCATTAATTTTGATCTAATTTGGCCACATGGGATGTGCTTTCCTAATGTTTGTATTTGTCAATATATAATGTTTACACCTAATGATGATCGGTAAACTCACCTGTTTGTCCTTGACACGACCTTGTGAGAGCCCCCTCTTCTGTCCCCAGCTGTTTAAAATAAAGAAACCTTGTCAAAATTTCATTTAATTTTTTTTTTAATAGCAATCACAGTGATTTACTCTTGTTTCTTTGAGTCTGAGTTGATGAGTTTTAATTGAGCTCACAATTTGTTACTGGTCTAAAACTATCTAGTCATATTTCTTAGTTTTCATGTGATTACTATCAGTTTTCCACCCATATTTTAAATGCACCCTTTTTCATCATTATTGGAAGAATTTTACATTGAAATCTTATAAACAATTGAGAAAATATAGTTTATTTGGGAAAAAGTGACTGCAGTGTTTCCTAGGGGAAACTGTCTCTATTCAGCTGTGATTTTAGATCATGAAAAACACATTATGCAGTGTGACATTCTGTTGCAGCAATTATTGCTAGATTTACCTCCCCTGTATTATTCTTCAAAATTGAAGAAAATAAAATGCTACCAAAAACAAAAAACCTTGGGGAAATGCTAGTAGTTGTGATGAAAATAAGTATGAAATATGGTCAACTGGTTATACATGTATCAGTCAAGTTAATCAGGTAATGGCATCATAGAATCAGGGAAACAAAAATTTAATGTGAATGGGATTATACTTTCTGTTCATTTTATTTTGAGTGTTTAATTTTATCAATTTCTTGGATGATTTATAGTATTTTCCTTGCATAAATTCATATTTTCTTCTTCACTTTTCTCACTCATGTTTTTGAACTTTCAGATGACATGCCTCTATCATTTTTAACCTCCAATGCAGGAGAATTCTCCCCATACTGGGAAACAAAATTAAAGCACTGTGACTGCACTTGTATGCCATATAGTAGTAGTCAATGTCACAATAATTAATAGAAATTTATACCACAGATTTAATTAAAACAAAAGTTTTGTATCAAAAGTAACAATGCTCATCCTTAAATCATTTCTTCTTCACATAATTATCTTATCCTCAGTCTTTTAAATAGATTTATATTTTTAATGAAAAATCAAGGCATATTTATTGTGTAGCTGACTTTAATATGATTGGTTGTTTCCTAGCTTATTCCCTTCACCCAATGATCAAATGAACAAAACAGTGCTAATTTAAAAGATGCAATGTTCACAGCATTCAGTCTGTCATGCGTGTAATTCACTAAAGACACAACAGGAATTTTTGCATAATTTAATAGTGTTCTTCATAGAACTTATCAGTTACACCACCAAATCAAAGAAAATGAAACTCATTCCTGCAAGATGATTAAAACTTTAGTTATAATAATTCCAGTTTTCAACTTTTGCCTGCAAATGTGACAATTAATGGATATACCTGTACTATAGAAATAAAGACTTAGCAATATGTAAAGTTCTTAGAAACCATGGCAACCATGAACAGGAGGCCCAAGGGTTTTAATAAGACACCTGAGTATCATGCAGCAACTTTTCTACACTACACATAATCTCTAGACATGATCACCTGAATGTAAAAAAAGCTCACTTGCGCTTTTAACTCAGGCGAGCTAATAAAAAAAACTTCTCAGTTTCTCTGTTACAAATTTACATGTATGGCCTTGACTGAATTACATACATGTACTTTCTTCCAGCTAGATTGATTGTTGACCTTGACAATATGTCCTTTATGTTAGAAATGCATTTTAAATGTTTCATTGTCTCTAAGTTAGCCATATACAAGAATATTATGCTTTCATTTCTTAGGAACTTGACCTTTTCCAAATGAAAATAATATATGATCACAGGGTTTGACACTAACATTTTTAAGCTTTAGTCCGACTGGACTAATGCTTCTTTTCTTTTACTAGTCCGCACGTGATTTTATGAGTCCGTCAAAAAAAACAAAACAATGTTTTGTAACAGTTAATTTAAAAAATAAACATTTGCAATGTACTTTTTATCCTTTTTTGAAATAAACAAAGTATTTACTTGAAATGTTTTATTCCAAGATTCGTTGAGAAATCTTGCGATCAGGAACTACGATTGTATTACTGATCTCGTTCTTTTTTCTCTATACTTTACATCCAAACGTCCAAAATCTTTCTTTATGTGTCATACTAAATCACTAAAATATTTAATATCATACCAACCAGTCCTAAAATTGAGCACTGAATTGACTCGGAATTACCTGACTTCCCACCAAGAAGCTAGAAAGCTAAAAATACATGCAGGTTTTCCAGTGAAAGTTGTCGAGAATCAAACATCGGTAATTTATTGATTTTTTTTTCCAAGAAATTTTTATTAGTCCGTTCGGACTAATTAGCTACAGATTTTATTAGTCGAATGAAAATATTTTAGTCTGAGACTAATGTTAATATCGAACCCTGGATCAACATTTTAGAGGTTTTGGTCCTCATGAAACCCCTTTGGTCGAGAAAAATGAAGGCATAAAATTTCCAGTGTTTGTTCCCTTCTCTCAAGAATGCTGTGTATAAAAATTGAGTACGTTTAAATTAAAAGTTTCAGAGAAGAAGCACAAAGTATTTCATAGTTTATAACTAATGTCTAATGGGCAACAATGACAACAGATGAAAATGGATAGCAGTTGGTCACCTGACTGACCAACAAATTTAAGTGCTATGTAAGAGATTTCCAGTATCCTGTTGTTTTGTGCCTGTGGATGTGAATTTGTGCCAGATGCCATAAAGTCTGAAAGACGGTTATATATCATTAATAATAACCTATATCTAGAATATTTTTTTTCATAGTATGTCTTACCCATTGTCACAGAGGTGTCAATGACTAGAGGAAAATCAATACAAATATATTTATCTCCACACCGAATTCTTATTATGACATGCAAACTAGATGTACAGAATGACACAACCAAATGAATTAATAGGTGTTTACTCAAATGAAAATATGTTGGTTAATTATTCACACATCACACATACTGATCAACATATGCAATATCAAAGAGAACAAGAAATAAGGCTTTATAACATGGAGAAATATGTGGGGAAAACTCAGCAATACAAGAACAGCTAGCTCACCCTGAGTTTCTACTGCCTCTGTCACTTACAATTCAGTTGTATTGCTATACCTTGGGGTTTGGCTAAATGGATTTCTTTGTAAAAATGAGATAAACATTGTATAAATTTAGCATAGAGGTCAGTGAGAATCTCAGGGTGGACAAAAAAGCTGGACAACAGCAAAGCAAAGAACAAGTACCTGGGAATCCTGTAACAAAAATATCATCCAATCATTAGTCAGCATGCACATCTAATTATAAACTGTCATCATGTTCTCAATTTGAATTTGTAGACTACTGGGAAAGGTTTCAAGACTCTACACTTAATGCTGTGGTAGACTATACATTAGCATGTTTTTAAAAAGTTTTCAATAAACTATAACTTAAAACAAAATTCAATCATATGTCAAGAATAAGAACTACAGGGTGGTGAGAATTACATACATGCAAAAGTGAAAAAAATAGATACTTTATTCAGTATTTATTCATGCAAAAGTAAAATGTTATTTGTATACACTGTATTATTATCAAAAAGTTAACTTCCAAAACTATAGGCTATGACAACATCAAGCAAATTTCTGTAAATTTAATACCAGGTTTACAGAAAACTTACGAATGTTATCTGAAATGAAAGATAGTGTATTTCAAGTACAGTAAGTGAATCCAAAAATATTTTTTAAAGATTTAAGAAAAACCCTATATGGTCATTCTGATCAAAATTGACCTAAAGGTAAAATATCTAAAATTGAGCACTAGGTGCAAATGAATCCATGAAATGGGGTGAACATTTCAGTATGTACAGTGTATATAAGAGTTTTAAAAAAATCTGGTTCCTAATTCCTACTTCTATTGTTAGAATTACAAGATATCATCCAGATGAAACCTGAGAGTACTGGCATATCTGCCATGATGCATTATCACTCGGAGAACCAGGAGCCCATTTTGCTAAAACCAAAATGTACTGCATTTTCTTTCATTCTTAACATTGATAAATTTGAATTAAAAAATATTAAAAATATGAGTATAGAGAATTCAATCATATCGCTTACATGTGCATTTTTTTCACTGTGATATGTTCCATTTCGCAAGATTTTAGATGTAAAAATTAATAAGTCAATTAAAAAAAATCCTTGGTAATATAAATTTCCCAACAAAATAATACTGAATTTTATGATAGTAAAACACATTTAGAATATCTGGCTATAAAATTTCTAATGCTAGACTAAAGCAACCAGGAGGTGAACATCCCTCAGGATCAACTTATGGCAAGAAAAGGGAGAGTAGCTTTATATATAGTTCCATCACAATCAGAAACTTGTAGTTCAACACTATACATGTTTATCTTTTCAGGACTTACCACTTTGTGGCCCTAACTTCTTGGTTATTTTAGGATACTTGGAGAACTTGACATAATAGTAAGACTCGTATTCCATGAGGATGGTCTCCAGGTCAATGTTGTCACAGACTTCATATTTACTTAAGTCAATGTTGGTTTCCTTAGCCAAAGACTGTGCAGAGTCCACATATCTATAAATATGTTGTAAATAACTCACAATAACTCTGTTGATCAAAATCCATAGAAATAAGGTTAATCCAAATTTCTGATCTGCTTTAAAAATAAAGTCTTTAATAAGAACAAAGAGAGAGACATTTTCAAGATGATTAAATCAAAATTAGGGATGTCAATTTAGTCAATTATTCATATTCGAATATTCAATGAAAGTATTCGAATATATTCGAATATTCGATAAAATAAATAAAATCTGTTTTATTTTAAATATGCATCATGAAAGGTTAAGTGTAGGTATACTTATATTGGAAGTAAAATTGTATGAAGACTTTTGTAGGTGTACAATAAGAAATTTCATTTGATATTTGTCAATGTTTGAAATAAATAATTGATTTAAATGTAGAAAAGTATAATTTTAACAAATGAAACGTATATTTATAGTAGCTCTATCTGAGGAACCAGTCGTCTTACTAAAGGCAACGGTATACTGCTCAGATTTCAATACGTGTAATGAATTACAATTATCTACCTAATAAGAGATATGATTATAATCTTTGATACAATGTAAACAAATATTTCCATAGACAATTTTCCTAGGTAATTAACTCATTTCCCGATAATGAATATAAAATTCAGGATTATGTACAACCCGAGATAATCAAGTAATTTACATATTTATTCTGAAATTAAGCCCTTTACAATATTAATTACAGACTAATTCTATCGGACATCCATTCAATGATCAATTAATTTATACTCTTCACGCCTTTTTAGACATTCTAAGATTTCATTTTGTTCTCCTCGATTCTAGATCCAATCATATCTAACTAAAAAAACTATGAAAGTACGTTTTGTATTATACATAAAGCATTATTGTGCAATTCTTTAACACCTTACTCAAAACAAAATACATGTAATTTAGTAAATCTATAAGATAAGAAAGTAGTGAAAGAAATCAGGCGTTCGAAATTGATCGCTAGTAAATTAAACAGGGATAATCCAAGCACTGTTCTAATCAAAATTTATCAATCACAGTACTTCTTTTTATGAAATCTGAAAAAAAACGAATATTCAAATCTTAAATTCATATTTGAATATCAACTCATCGAATGAATATTCGAATATTCGTTGCCATCCCTAATCAAAATTAATTTAGGTAACAGCAGCACACCACAATTTGCTAGCAATAAAGCTTATAAAAACAAGGGGAGTTCAAAATTTGAGATTTGCACACTGATCTCAAAAGGAAATTTTGTATTTCAGTTTGGAGAGTTCCACAAACTATAGCTACCATAATCCCCATAACGCCGAGTCGAAGGTATTACATAAGCTCCCCCCAACTTCGTTGAGGTGAGCTAAAAATTGAATGCTTTGAAGTACATTTCTCTTTCATAGTTTGAATTTGGGGGCATATATTGGTATTTATTACATTTTCAACAGTGAAATACTGTGATTTATTGAATAAAAGTTATATTCTCTCACAGTGTGAAAGGATACCAAAAGTATCAAAGTAAGTAAAAAATAATTTCTGGCCTGTCATAAGATAGAGATAGTAACTAAACATCTTGATGGAGCTAAAACTGCAATTTTCTTCTCAAATATGTTGCTAAAATTTATGCTATGTAATGTTTTCAATCTCACAACTGCTAAGCTATGACATCTCAACCGCTCAACTATGACGTCAAGCCTAGCTATAACACTGTGTTAAGAAAAGACAGAGGCAAAGGGAAAATCAAAGAAAATGTAATAAACAGAAATTCAATGTTTTGTAGTTGAATATTGAATTTATTTCACTCGTGAGACAGAGTTTTTTGATATTTTCACTCGTGCTTCGCACTCGTGAAAATATCAAAAAATCCTATCCCACTTGTGAAATAAATTCCATATTCATCTACAAAACATTGAATATCCTCTATTTACAGAATATAGTCCTTCAAAGTGTGCATAAAGATTTTTTATTACATCTACATGAATAAATGCAACTGCTCACTTCATTGGTCACATTGTCCAACATATCTCATTGATATGACATGTACCACAACTGCCCCTTGATGAATAAATCTTAACTTGATATATTAAGACTGACAGTTTCAGCAGTCAATAGCAGACCAGAAATAAAATTGTTTTGCATAATTTTTTACCTACCCTTCTTCATGTAAATAATTTAATACCAGGATTAGTAAGTTTTTCTTCCTTGTGTCAGTCCTCAGTTCATCCTAAAAAACAAAATTCCCAAACAAAGTCTAAGCATTGTGTAATGAACATTTTCGCTACAATTACTATATCAGAACTTCAAATACTACTTTAGCTATACTTGTGCATATCCTCACACAACAGGCACTTGTTTCTGTAATATATTTTTTACCCCATAGTAATAAGTATATAAATAATAACACAAGAAATCTAACTCCAAATTACATGGAGTACCCCCTCCTCAGAACCACAGTCATTTATGCTTTAGGAGAAAAACAATTTGCCAGTGCATTTTCTCTGAAAACATAAATGACTGCAGTTCTGGGGAGGGGGCCGGGGCACATGCACTTGTTTCGTATATGGGGTCACCCCCATAGTTGCCAACTCACCCGATTTCATCTGGTTACACTCGATTTTTCAACCCCATTAAAAAAGATTTAAAGACTTTACAGAGGATATATCAATTTCCAGTTAGGCTTATAGCGTACGATAAAACCAGAGACTTCCGAGCTTTCATTCTTAAGTGTGGAGACAATTTTCGAGGAATAAATGTGTGGTTTACAATGAAAAGGTTGGTCAAAAGATGTCTGGAACATTTATTAGAAAAGAAAAAAGTATATCAAAGCGAACTATGTCTTTTTAAAGTAGGTTAATAATTGCTAAACTAATAGTGAGCACAGCGAGTGGCGCTTCATGCTGCTTGTCACTGCGAGCTCTTAAAGCAACACCTGGTCGAAGAGAAAATTCAGACTTTGCACATTGATCCGAACGATTTTTTTTCTGCAGTTACCTCAAGACCCACAATGCAACACTTGTTGTTCTTGATGCTTACTTCGTTCTCGTGGTAACAACAACTAAAAATTCACAAAAAAAATAACTCACCTTAATATAATGGATATTGCATACAGATACATGTAGGGTAGACAGACATCTCGGCCCAACGACACCTCGGCCCGTGACGTATGACACCTCGGCCCTGACAGGTCGGCCCAAGATTATTGACACGTCGGCCCATATAAAAGACACCTCGGCCCAAGCGAAATTTTATGATGGAAAAAATTTGTCCATTGTCTGAATTGTTATTATTATCAATGTAATTATTCTTTTTGACGGTTAAATGATTTTTTTAAATAAAAGTCAAGGGGGGGGGGGGGTCTATAATAGAAAATTGGTTCACTTCCCTAAGCAAATCAGATCAGCACGTTAACTAACATTGATCTATCTCTTGTGGAAAATCCCCAATATATACACTTAAGTGAAACTATGATATATACAAGTATTAGCTTTCCTAAAAAGCTTGTCTGACTTGAGCAAATTTAGTTTTACGCGAAGAATCGAGAAAAGTTAAATCCAGTGTAATCAACGTGACTCTGAATAATGAAACGAATTCTTTTGCTAAGAAACAATAAAAGTTTAAATCAGTGGCATCAGCATAAATTTAAACTTGGACATGTATTTATTCCATATACACTATATTTATACTTGTAATTTCCTTTTTTTATGGATAATTAAGAAATGCTTTATTTAAAAAAATAATTAACGTGTTACAAATGAGCTAACATCTTTGCATTTAGCAAAAGAATATTCAGCATATATCAATCACTTTGATATTTTTTTACTATGAATAAATGAAACGTCTGCAATTTATGAATATGTGTAGATTTATAAAAATTCTGAAGATAGAGAGACTCAGTATGCATTGAAAATAAACATCCATTAGTTAATCTGATAAAGATAATCGACAAGTGTTGACCTGACCAGCTTCATTCATTTCTGTTTTGCTGGACATGAATGATGCATTCGAGAATGGCCAAATGTTATGCAACCTGTAATGTATAATGTGATAATAATGACATATCAGCTCCAATGCTCTGGTTTGTTTGGGTGTTTAGCATGTTTCCTTTACTCTTCATGCTCTCCAGTTGATAGTTAAGATAGTATGAAGTTTCCAAGATCAAGTTATCACAAGAATTCTATTGAACGACTTGACTAACAAGCCTTGGCTAAATCTAATACTGTCTGACGCCATGACGCCAGACAATCAACATTCTTATGATCTTGACTTTCTATAAGAATTGCCGGAATTTTATCGTTTCATTTTGCATTACTTCTCTGACGATCTGAAACATCTGAGATGGGTTGATAATTCGTGAAAAGATATATATGGGCTTCATTTAAACCGTAGCTTTTTTGTAAATGCGAGAATTTCTGCTATATGGTTGCGGTCGTTAATCTTGCATTAACAAAAAAAGGAAGAACATTTTATTGTTTATACTTATGTCAGTATAAATAATCGTATAAAATAATAGTTTAAGTACGTAAAATAATTGCATTATTGATCTGAACTTCATCGTATGTTTCATCATGTTTATTGATTGAAAATCATAGTTTGATACAGATAGCTTAAAATAAATTTTAAAAAAAATCAGTGCTCAAACTAGTTTTTAATGTAAGTGAAATTCTTAAGAAATAAATGGATGTAAATGTTCTGAATGACTGTCTCACAATTAACAGATTAAGCCTGCTCGTAATTATTCCCTTAATGACAACAATATGACACGCACTGGAGACTCCCAAAGGATGCGCCGCGGCATCATGTTTGTTTATCTGTTAGCACTTTTAAAATTATAATTGTCTTTTTATTCCTTGATGATCGTCAATCATGTAGCTCGTGGAAGGTCTTTTTAGTATTAAAAATAATCTTGATTGTTTACTTTTTTCTGGTCAAAATTTTATTGAAATCGCAGATTGGAAATATATAATATACTTTCTATAAATGAAAGTTTGCTTGGGCCGAGGTGTCTTAAATTGTGGGCCGACCAGTCAAGGCCGAGGTGTCATTGGGCCGAGATGTCAATGGGCCGAGGTGTCGTTGGGCCGAGGTGTCTGACATTCACATGTAGTAGATTTAACATTCTTTCTTAAAATTTTGCACTTTTCAAACTTCGTTTATGGAAATGCAACTAACATACGACGTCATGTGACGTCACAGTCTAGACGTTCCAAATGTCTCGTGCGGTTTGAAGAGGCGGATCTTAAAATTAAGTGAACTGCGCTCGCCTAAACGGTCGCACCGTCAACATATTAAAATACGAGTTGGAAGTGGAAGGGGGGGGTGAAATTGAGTTAGGCACCTTGTGGTAAGAAAAAGGGGTGACCCTATACATGAAACAAGTGCCTGTGGGCCGGGGGTATTCCATGTAAGTTGGACTCCGGTACCTTGTGTTATCATTGTACTACTGGGTAAAATTTTATTACAGAAACAAGTGCTTGTGACGTTGTGCCTCACACTGTCATTTTAATGTCATTATTAAATTTTTAATTTACAAACAAATAAAAATTTTGAAAATACACTTTATAAAACTACACTTTACCGCTTCCCTGGCCTGGTTAGCCGTGCGGATAGCCTGATAACTCAACTCAGACATTGAATTCATTATACATTTCCCTCTGACATTTTTCCAACTCTTCGTCGTGAAGAAATACAAATATGGCTGACCTCTAGTAACGCTCTAGTATCGTCACTCGAGATGTTTCTAGAATTTTAAATTAAATATGAATATCTGATACAGTAGAATTTCAAAGAATAAAAAAAGAAATATAAACATTTTTTTAATTTATCAGTTTTATCTTATTTATTGAAAATTTTTAATCGCGTACCTTGCAATTCTCTGTACGACTTATCTAAAAGCTTTGAATGGGAAGATACTAAAGACCTGATGCGGTAAAGACTTGATTAATCCGAGAGAAAAAAAATAAATTTTAAAAACCACAAATTTTAAACGTTATATTTTTAGCTTTTCTGAGCCGAAGGCGTCTTCGACAGCTCAAAGAGCTAATGCTATTTGTGTGGTGTGCATCAACTTTTTTGAATATGGGTCCTATCTCAAAGGCCATTGGCCAAGTTTTGTCAAATTTGTCATAATAAGGGAAGTAAAAACAAAAGTAGTGGTCGCTAAAAAATCTAATTCTCAAGAACCACTGGGCAGATTATCACCAAACTTATGCAGAAGAATGAGGATATGTAAATTGTACCGATAGATTAAAAATTGTTCAAGGCATCACCCTGGAATAAAGGGTGTGGTCTCAACATCATTTCAAAGTTGACCTTAAATAATGTTTTATCAAAACCTTGATATTTTGCCCACTATAAGGACTAGGATCATCAAATCTTGTCAGTTGATGCATCTTAGAACCTCAAGTCATGTTGACTCAAAAGTAGGTCATGGTGACCTACTTTTTGAAATTTGCAGGTCTTCATTTTCAAATTGATTTTCATGCATATCTTGATTACTTTGAAGCCTATGATCATCAAAACCAGGGACCTATCAAAACTTGTCAGTTTATGCATTATGAGGCCATGAAGTGTGTATTGAAACAAAAAGAAGGTCACCATGACCTAGCTACCTTCTGGGTTTTATGGCTAATCATTTTCAAAACATTTTAGTTCATTATTTTGGATACTGAGAGTTTTAGAATCATCAAACTTTGTAAAATGCATGATGCATCTTGGAACCTAAAATTTAAAGATAATGATAAAAAAGTCAATTGTTTAAGATGCATATTAAATTTGAACACTTTGAAGCCTAAGGATCATCAAACCTTGTCATTTGATGCACCTCGAGTTTTGGAATTTCATGGCTATGTCTAAATATTTCAGATAATAAGAGGTTAGAATCATCAAACTCTGTCAAATGATCTTGGGTCCTTCAAGTGTTTCAACTTGTTGTAACTGGGCCACCTTGAGGCCCCCCGTGGGTCCAGGGCGAAGCCCTGGTGAGGGCCCAGGGGGTGAAGCCCCCAGAAGCTCCTGGATTCTAGAGATTTTGTAGGGTAAAAATGAGGTCTATCGAGTAGACATTTTTACATTTTCTAAGCGAAACTATGATTTATGTTAACTTTGACAGTTTAAGGGGGGGGGGGGCACCAGATCCGCCCCCCCCCCTTAAATCTGCCACTGGATCTGAGTCATATCATACTCTCTGGACAATAGCATTTTAACATTGTGTAGTGCTAGCTTAATCCACTTAATTCTTAAATGATTTCAAAGTGATGCCCCAGACAGGATTGAATTGCAATTACTCTTCTATAATAGCAGAGATGAACAAAGCACTTATTTAAGCAAATAAATTTACAACCCCTACATTGTATGTTTACAAGATGTGTTTGTAAAAGATGACCATGTTTAGAATCAGGACACATCCTCTAGTCATTAACTCCTACCCTTTTTTATGCAAAGTATGAGCTTAATTTAAACATTTTTCATTACAGTTATGACTGAACAAGAATTTTACACTTCCAGTTGTAACCTTGGCTTTGCCCAAATAACCTTAGTTTAGTATCATGAAAAACTACAGGGTGCAGTTAAACTTCAGTATCTCAAACACCATATCTCAAATATCATGGATATGTCGAAGCGAGTCGAAAGTCCCAACCACTTTCTTGTATGTATTTTAACCTCGATATATCTCAAAACCTCGGATATCTCAGTTTTTTCTCAGCCAAGTTCGAGATAATGACGTTTAACTGTATATGAATGTCAATTACAACATTGCATTAGATATATACCAAAGGAAGGATTGTTTTAATTAACTCACACTAACTAAAAATGTTAGCATGTCAAAGTCAGAATTATCACTGTTGTTCAAACTGACATATAGTACATGTATAAATCGAATCTCTTTTATTACTCATTCCTGCACACATTTTCATGACCACTAGTTCAATACACATTTTGTATGTGAAGGGGGAAAGGATGAAAATAAGGATGTTTTTTCACACAGCAATCCTTTCCCTGAAGACTGCACAGTCTACTTGTGGCCTTTTTAAAAGTACATCTATCCCAGTTTTCCTGAGCAAAAACTGTTTGCCTCAGATGTAGGTAGGGCTGTGTATTGACCAAAATATTTCGATACGATTCGATATTTTAGAAAGCGAAATGCAATATATTGGATTCTTTAACAGGTCTATCAAAAAAGGTATTGTAAATCCTTTAATGCATAAATTTGTTAAAAACTGGGTGTTTTATTACCAAATTGGAAGTTCTTGTCTCACTGTCTTTACAAAGTACACTTCAAATTCAAACTTTTAATGACTGTAAAACTGATATGTTAAAATATAGTTGTCTATGTATTTTGTAATAGTTAATCAAGATGTGCTATCTCCTTAATGTTTATTTCATTATTGACCAGTTTTAATTAAAAACAGTTAAAAATTATCTATGGTGACTGAAATTCCCAACTTTTTCACAGAATTATTAGAAAAACTGTCTGCCCGATACATATTGGAAGTTATTTTGTCAATACGATACATTCCTGAATATCGATACATATTGATTTATCGCTTTATTGACACAGTCCTAGATGTAGGAGTGATGCCAATGTACACATTTTGACAATAGTCCCATGTATCAAAAGGCTCACCTGAATTCCATCGCTATCTTTGAAAATTATATTGAAAAGAAACTCCTTTAAATAGATCCCTAATCTTAAACAATAAAATTTTTGTATAGAATTATCAAATATTGTACATTGTTCTTGAATTTTTATATCTCAACTTGCACATTCATAAAAATTCTGCCAGAAAAGACTTCTCTTTTCTAAATTAGCTAACCTAGCGGGATAGTGCCCATTTTAAAAGATTTATCCCAGGACATGAAGGATATAACAGTGAAGAGTGGGTAAAACAGGGCCACGGCAAAAGAAATGTTGTTCTATTTAAAGAATTAAACAAGTTCAGTGTCGACTTTGACCATTTCATCACAGTACGAAGTCATTATACCCCATGCTCACAGAGATTTGGTGAAGTGCCTAAGACACTGGGTCTAAGAGACTGGGCATTGGGAGAAGAAAATTTAAGAGGACCAAGAAATTTACATGCAGGAATCTTTGGTTTAAGTTCCTGCATATCTTTAACTTAATCCGAAGACAGTTATGGGTGAATGAAGACTATAGATTCAATAGGAGGGAATATGTATTCTAGCAAAAGAATCTGCCATATGTAAATTAAAATTTTTGATCAAGGTCACTGCATACCCTTCATCTTTTGAAACTCTATTAGTGAGACATTAACCAAATTGAGATGAAGGGAGAAAATTAAAATATCAGTATTAATGACAATCAATTTACACAAAGATATGCTTTGGGCCTGCAGTACCATGTTTCACATCCAGAGTTGAACCCTGCACTTTGAGCCTGGATGTTCTACTCATTGAATAATTGTGCCCCATTGTGGTTTAGTGGAAAAAATCTTCACTTTCAATGCTGTATAAATCCTGTTAACAAACAAGTAGAATCTCAGTATTTAGATAGTAATTTATTTCTATTTGCATAGTTCTGACACAAATAAATTACAGATAATAATATTAAAACAAATCTCAAATAGCTTTATGGTCCACAGACACAATTATATATAACCTTAGAAATATGTTGACAAATATACGATTGTATATGAACATTTTAAATTAATTAATAACTTCCTCTAATGAGACCTCAGAGCACGTCTTGTACATGTTGAAATTTTTCTTTTAGAAGGTAATGTATCCACAGACACAAAACAAAAAAAACCTATACATGAGTCTTTTAATAACTAATGAAGAGAATTCTTATTTTCTGGAACACAAGTCAGCATTGACAAGCACTAAATTCAACAGCAAATACACACAAACAAGCTGCAGATATATTTTTAATTTTATAATACACATAAATACTTCAAATGTTCTATATGCATACAAGTACATTCTCTGACATTTACTTAGTCAATTTTATTTAGACTGAATGACTTCAGTGAAAAAAGGATCTATCAAACATGAAACAAAGACAAGCACAAAACTCAATGAATATTATAGAAAAGTGTTTACCCTCTGGACCAGCACAATGCCTAGTCTATCACATATTTTCATATACATGTAGTCCATACACACTAAGATCCAAAAACAACATCAAACAAATGCTGAAGTATACCTGTATTTATAATACTGTACTATGTTATGTACTGAAATGAGCTTGTCTCATGTCGGTCAATCTGGTCAACATTCACTTGTAGCAATATTTTAAAAATCCTGCAAAATCTGTGAATAAATACTGATTAAGTAGTAACAACTTTTCTGTGTACAGAAATGGATTTCCTTACATTTGAGCTGATTGCAAATACAATATACTTTAAAGGCTTGTTCAACAATTAATAAGTATGAAGACTTGGTCTACACACAACACTCACTCATCTCACATACATAGGCACATCACAAAATGTTCAAATATAAAGCATATAACAATGTGTGTCCCCCTCTACACAGGGAGAGGTGAGATAGACGTAGGTAGACTAACCGTCTGACATTTAGTCATCATCTCACTGAGATGTAAACACAACTCACTGAAAGCTGGTCGATCTCGTGGATTGTCTGACATACATTTTTTAATAATATCTCTCAGTTCAAATGGAATTTGTTCTGTCATTGGCAGTTGAATATCACAGATTTTGAGTTTTCTAATAACATCTTCATCAGAAAGTGTGGGGTAAGGCAACTCCCCGAGACTGAACACTTCCCACATGAACACACCGTATGCCCAAACGTCACTCTTTGTGGAATATTCATTCCTAAGCAGCACCTCTGGTGCTGTCCATCTCAAAGGGAGAAGACTCTGGTTATAAAAAAAGTACTCCCCTGCATACACATCTCGAGACATGGAGAGAGAAGATATTTTGAGCTCCATTCTGGAGGTTAATAAAATATTTCTGGCTGCTAGGTCTTTGTGAATAAATCTATGATTGGATAAATGTTCCATGCCTAGGGCTATCTGGTTATACATTGTCAGCTTTTGAGCCAGAGTCAATGGCGGAATTCGAGATGGAAATGGACGTCCATTTATGTGACCCCTCGTGGCCAGTAAGAACTGTTTTAAATCCCCCTGGAAAAAAAATCTCCCCTTTAATCATAACAATCAGGTTAAATCTATTGTTTCTGGTGAAGAGAAACAAGGTTCTTGTATGCAACAATTTGTGGGATACAAAGAACAGTGGCATTTGAATGTACTAAGAGTGTAAATATGGCACACGCATATACACACTCCCTCAAAGTAAATTATCACATAAAATACCAAAATATTTGACATTTAAGCAGACGTTTCTTACCCAGTCACAATACTCCAAGATCATGAAATGAGGCTCAACTTCTCGACATACACCCAACAGTTTTATGATGAACGGATGGTCCAGTTTAGAGTACATTTCCATTTCCTGTCGGTACTCAAAGAACAAATGTTCATCCTTCACCAACAAAGACTTGACCACCACCAAAGTCTCAGGTTCAACGTCTCTGATTTCACTAGCCTTTGCCAGAAAGACATCCCCATACACACCATTACCTGTAGTAGTAAAAAGACAAAAGTCTTGAATTACCAAGTATGGTAGCTTTATAAATCATAGCTACATAAATTCAGTATTGCTGATGCTGAAATAATATAATACATGCAATGATTAGCAGTCAGTTAAAAAGTCCTGGTATACTGAAAATTAATTCTCTGCAAAGAGAGATAACTCTATAAAGAAAAAAAAATCATTGTTTCCTTTTCAAAATACTACCCCCGGTAAATTTGCTTGAATTCCATCTTTATCTCCGTGCACTGTTTTAAAATTGTCATAATCACAGAAAATTCCATTTTGTTGAGCAGAGGATCATTTTACCAAAGATTAATTTCTATGAGGCAACAGCGGTGTGTATTAGCCAGGGTTCGACACTAACGTTAGTCCGTTAGTCTCAGACTAATACATTTTCATTCGGACTAATAAAATATGTGGCTAATTAGTCCGAACGGACCAATAAAAATTTCTGAAAAACAATATGAATAAATTACCGATGTCCGATTCTCGACAACTTTTACTGGAAAACCCTGTGTGTATTTTTAGATTTCTAGCTTTTGGCGGGTAGTTACGCAATGCCCAATCAATTCAGCGCTTAATTTTTCGACTGATCGATATGAAGTATAAGGTTTTAGCGATCATGATTTAGTATGACACTTTTAAGAAAGATGTTGGGCGTTTTGGATGTAATGTAAAGACAAAAAAAAAAAACGAGATCGGGAATACAATTGCACTTGCTGATTGCGAGATTTCAATGAATCTGTGGAATAATATATTTCACGTAAATACTTTGTTTATTTCAAAAAATAATATGTATATTAATTGTCACGTTAAATTAATGTTAAAAAACATTGATGTTTCTTTTTTTTTTGACGGACTAATAAAATCGCATGCGGACTAGTAAAAGTAATGAAGCACTAGTCCGGCTGGACTAAATCCTTAAAAAGTTAGTGTCGAACCCTGATTAGCTAGGTATAATTTTCCTAAGATTTGTTTAGAGTAGCTTTCAGATATTGTTGCTGAGAGCTTTACTATAAAATCCATAATCGAAAATGTAAATAGAATTCTCATAATCAAAATGTACTTTATGGTAATGTATCATCATCAACACATGGGTGTTGGATAATACTTGAGTCTAAAATGTGTGATAAAACATCAACAATTTTTTTTCCATCTTGATAAGATTCCTCTTAATTATAATGAGAACTAATTAGTAATCACCTAGCATGCCAAATGAGGAGATTTTCTGTCTGGGGTAGACCAGCCTATCCAGACTTCCCCGCCGTGACCGAGTATAGGAAGAGGAGGACTGGGAGGGGTGAGAACTCAGCCCTGAGGCATGTGATCGGTTGTCACTGTCACTACGACACTGGTTTCTTGACTCACTGTCCCGCTCTTTGACCAGTAATTCATGCTGCTCAGTTGAGATGTGACCATTTTCTGTCTTGGCTGAAGGAGCATGAGAAGTGAAATATTCAATAATTTTGCAGCATATAAACCTAAATATTCAATATGACAACATGCCTAAACTGTGTGTTTGATATGTGGCATTGTGTTCTTTACAACAACAAATATATGATGTGACTAAAATTTAAAAAAATGATTTTCTATGATTCTTTAAAAACAAAATTATTCTCATGCATAAAACAATATCCTTAATTGTAAGATTTATATACTTGCACTCCTATTGGTAGCAATGGTAGCTGAGTGACTTACATGTGGCTTTCCTATTCCTCCTCTGCATAAGAAGTCTATAGCTACAGTAGGCTGTCAGTGCTATGACCAAAGCTAAATATGCCCCCGCACTACACACAGCAATGATGATTGTCTTCATCATGTCTGACCCTCCATCATCATTAGATTTACCAATTGTGTACTCAATGGATGCTGACAAAAGATAAGTAATTGTGAATATCAGTTTATCTGGGTAACAACAACAAATGCATTAAATCTGTCATGAAATGAAGTCATCAACATGAACAAAAGATTTGAAATAATGACAAATCAATCAAAGAGCTGAAGACAGTGAACTAAAAGAAGGTTATTTCAAAGATGTTTTAAACACCTAAAACTAAGGCAAAAAATATTGGAAGATTACTTTTTCCTGGTCTCAAAATTTCCATGATTTGAGAAAGAAATATTGGTTCATGGGGAAATGACTTTGTGGATGAAGAAGAAGCATGAAACTGTAGTTTAAAATTTTACATTTCATGGAGGAAATGAATTTGTGGGTCTCTTCATACCATGAACACAACATAAAATTATTTTGAAGCCAAAGCTATATATGTATATATATATATATATACTTGAGACAGTAAGAAATGCCTCGATGCGGACTTTTCCTGCCACGTTGGAAGCTTTACATCCATATCTGCCTTGGTCTTCCATGTAAACTTTAGAGAAAAACAAGGTGCCATTAGGAAAAAGCTGCAAAGATAACAATACATTCACATTTAGAATTTTTATTATTCAAATCACATGTCTACGGTGCATCTTACATATGTGAGTTTATGAGATTCCCTTTTTATTGGAGCTATAGTTAATTCAAGGCTGTGCTTTTACAGATATGGCTTTATCATTTCTTGTAATTATTCATAATATACATGAACATGAAAATAAGTTTGTTTGATCCTTAATAAGAAACCAATACCTTAATCCTTTTACTATCAATGTCTTGAAAGTAATTTTTGTCCCAATGGATTTCTGGTTTGGGATCACCAATAGCAACACAGTGCATCATTGCTGGATGTCCTTCATAAATTGTCATGTTCTTTGGCCTTACTTGAAATCTGGGCCTCTCTATAAAATCACAGCAATTATTATTACATGTACTATGCAACCACCCTTTCAAAAAAAAAATGATCACAAAAATTTTAATTGTTTTTCTGAGTACAAAATAAACCTTCATTGCAAGCTTACCGACAACATCTATGAAGACTGTTGTGTTAATGGAGCCTTGCTTATCATTATATGCAGTACACGTGTATAGTCCCTCATCTGACCTTTGAACCTTGAAGAAATTCATGGTGCCCCCCATGGAAGTGAAGTGAGGGGCTGTATCTGTTGGAGTGGATCTCTGCCACACAATACGAACAGGTCCATCTCCCTCAGCCTTGCATGTTACTGAGGCATCATGGGATAACTCAATGTAGGTATCTTTAGGAGGAGGATGAAATTTCAATTTCTCTGGTGGAAAAAAAGAAAATAAATTATGTGTGTAATTCTACAATTTTCCAGCAATTACCATATGAATTTGGTTGTACTACTTGTATCAATGTAAATATTTGAAACATGTCATTTAACATCAATTATTTGGTCAAAATTTTCAGCATTCTCAAAGTACATGTATCAGTTAACCCAAACTCCTAACATGTAGACAAAATAATGCATAATCAGAACAAAGACTTTCCAACAACTTCTATTTTTATTATTATACAAATATAAATTTTGAACAGGCAGATACTATTGAGCCATATATTTCAGAGATTTAACAAGTAAGCTGAGTGCAAAAGTCTTAACAATGTCTTTTACTGATCATCCAATACTGTATGGTCATTTAAAGCCCTGATAATCCCCCTTCATCACCTGTCAGTTGACCTACTTTTGACATGGAGGTAGGCCCCCTGTGATTCCACTAAGCTTTGTCCTGTCGTGTTGGCCACACATTTGTATGTTCCTGCATCCGCCATCACTGTCTGCTTTATTGTCAGGGTACCTTGCTTTAAGTCTATGATATGTCTCATGGAGCCCTTAGGAGAACAGTAAACCAGCTGCTTCATTCATAATTCAAATCTATTTTAATCATGTTCATCTCTTGAAAGCACTTACACATCATGGGGTCCTTAATCTTTTATAAAATCCTTAAAATTCAAGGCATGGACATTTTTTTCATCTGAAGCCGATTACTGGAATTTCATATGAGATATTGAAAAACCACAGAATGGTCTTCAGAAGGCTTGAGGGAATATTTAAAAGTTCTAGCAGATTATACTAAGTCCTAATAGAAAAGGCATAAGAATTAGGGTTTTCAACTTTTTTTTGTAAAGAAAATTGTGGTGTAAATTTTTGCACTGCTAAACAGATTAATAAATGCTATACTTATTATATTTCTAAACTAAGAAATTACAAAATTAAAAAAAAACACATCTTAGATACCATACACCAAAGGTTAATTACATTAAAAGATACAACACTACAAGTAATTTATCTAATGGTAACATTTGTATAATGTTGTTTTTTTTAAATATGTGTAAGACACTTACATCACTAGATCTAGATCATTTATTGTTTTAATCTGAGTACTGACCATTCTTATGAGGTTCCCATCTTTCTCCCAGATCACCGTAGTGACAGGGTACGGGGTTCCTGACACCTGACAACTCAATATGGCACTGTTGTCCTCCTCAACAGCCATGTTTAACGGTGGCCTTCGAATGGTTGGTGGCACTAAGTAAATGAAAAAGAAAATTTGATGCTGGGACCGAAGTTCTAATAATAACTTGCAAGAGCTTTCACAAAAAAATTCTCAATAAATGTTGAGCAAGCTATTTCTTCTTTTTTCCCCCCAATATTTTAAGAATATTTATAAACATTATATGATCATGTTTGCCAACAAATGTTATAAGAGTGTGAAACAGGTTATCAACTGACAAATATTTCACTGAATGATAGAGGAAACAGTAGGAAAAATAATGTTGGTTGTTTCTTTGAAGTCTGTCATCTTTAATATAAAACACACATAACTCAACAATCACTAAAGCAGCTTATCTTTACTCTTAAAATACTGAAAATGGATACCCCTGTTTCATTAGGAACTTGAAAAATTCCAATTTCTTACAAACATGTATGATGAACAAATTTATCAACATAATTCCACATTTATTTCTTTTTTGGTGTTCAGAGGTAAATTTTTTTATCCATGAACCTATTGCCTAAAGATGATGTATTTTGTTCATTTACATGGATTTTAATGTATATTTACTACATAAACCTGACTTTGATTAATGCCATTATTTTTCTAAACCTGCAAGGTAATTAAAACTAAATTTACTTTTGTTTTCAAGATATTTAGCATGTGGTTTCATTCTATTACCATATTCTTGGTACTTTGTTTATGCCTTACAATTTACACAGTAAATTTGCCTTATTTTCAATTACGTCACCTCGGTGACAGGTGTATTTTTTCCTGATTTTTGTTTTTGAAAATCCATAGCAGATTTGAAGAATTCCTCCTGAAAACTCCAGATGCTCTATAAAACTAACCTATATTGAGTAAAGGTTTGAAACTCCCAAATGTTAATCTTCACTATGTTTCTGTCTCTGGAACACTGATTTTTTTTTTTAAATACAGCACCAACAGATGATCACTGAATTGCCAATATCATCCAGCTGTCATGTTTTAATCTTGTTAATCTTCAGAGTTTATGTTAACTTTTTCATTCAAGTACAAATTTTGCTATCAAAATTTTTCTTGAAAAGTATAATATGTTTCATAATGATTTTTTTTTTGAGAAGTTTCAGCATGTATATTTCCTCTGAATTACCTGAAACAATAATCCACACTTTTTGTTGATTTCTACCAGCAATGTTTTTTATAATGGCAGTATAATTGCCAGAGTCCATTTCTTGTGGTCTCTCAAAGATGAGTTCGGTTTCATTGACATGAATATTGCCACTTGGCCCAATGATTAGGTCGCTTCTATCCCGCCATCTACAAATAAAGAGTAATCATGTTCAATTCAAGTCTACAGACATTGCATGTTGCTTACATTAAAACTAAACTGATCAAATTTAATCTAATTTGCTCTCCAATGAGAACTACCAAGATGTTTTCCCACTACACTTATCTTAAAACTAATCCTTTATGCTAAGACACTAATTTAGCAAATTTTGCTTCATTGATTTAATTTGATCCAAAAAGTGGCAACACTGATTTTGAGGAAGAACTGAAAATTGAGCTGGATATCTGGCATTTTGCTGCCTATAATTTTGCCACTTGACTTATTTCCAGCTTTCTACCTAAACTACCAATTTTCCCTCAACCACCTGAAAAAGTTCATTTGAGTATAAGGCAGGCATTGATATAGAAGCTTTTTAAGACAGGAAACACAAAGGTTGCTTCCAGTGTACTACAAGTCACTAGGGGCCATGTTTTCCATCAAGGTTGCAGTGAAGTTTAAGGGGGAAAACAGGAACCAAAGAGATACAAGCTATATATACAGAAGCCCTAGTGATGACAGACCTATATCCAAAACCTAAGCTGAAGGAGGAGAGTTTTTTTGAAGTGTATGATAAAGGTTTCATGTCAAAATATCTTGACATTACTGACTGCAGATCCTTTTTTGAAATCCTCTCTGCTTGTTACAAATGAAAGAGATAGTTAAGATATACAAAGAGACACTACGCAGATCTGTCGAGAAACATTTTCGAAATGAAACTAAATAAACAGAAAGCCAATCTCTCTCTTTGAACACAGATAGGTAATCCCAAACAGGAACTGAATACAAAAAATATGCACCAAGACTGCACAGGTGAAGTCGGAAATTGAGTATTAAGGTATTTCTTTAAAAAAAGATTGATTATAAAAAAATATAAATGTACTCAACAGAAATCAATTAATAGGGAAAATACTGCGAAAATCTCATCTGAAATGTGTTTGCTATTCAATTGGCCGTAATAATTGATCATTAATGCAAATTTTATAAGTAAAATGTGTGGTTCTCTCTTAGCAAGCATCCAAAATAATGATTTTACCATCAGTATTCATGAAAATATCATACCAATCAGAGTATGATTCAAACAGATATTTAGGGTTTTCCAGATCTAAATAAGTCACATATATTGATATGAATTTCTGCTAGTCTAATTTGTCTTGAAATCAACCAAGATTTGTGTAACTTTTTTGTAGAACCCAGAAGGGAAGAAAACAAAACAATGGTGGATACTGAAGTGACCAAGCCGCCACTAATCATGGATGTGCTGTTTTTGCCATGTTCTTTTGACAGTTATGACGGTGTTCACAGATCAATAAACTCATTCATATACTCCCATCACTTCTGTTTTATGTGATGTTAAGGGGAGGAAGAGAATTTTATGGAGTACATTTTTGGAATGTTCGAGTGCATGTTACACATAACCCTGTAGCAACCATGCTACTCTGATAACCTACATGTAAAACCCAATAATACCGTGACCTTGATCTAAATTATTGCTCATATCATTATAATCGGACAATATTCATCTTCTTTGTCGTCTTGTTATTAGAAAATCTGTTAACAGACACTAAATTTGTTTCTTGTGAGATGTCTGTTCCAATAAGATGCAATGTATGATACCGTACTTTTATTGGCAGTTTCTGTAAAACTGACATTCTCAAACTAAATAAACAAGCAGACAAGTGATCTAAAATTTATATACAAATAGCTTTAATTATACTTCTTTCCCCTAATGTTTTTTTTCCCCTTGATGAATAAATCAGTCAAAGATCATTCTTAAAGCAAACATGGAAACCATTTGAATGTTTCTTATAAAAGCAATCTTTAGAAAAAACAAATAAACAAAATGATCTGCTATGACAGGGAAAAAAAAGATTTCTAGAAGATTTGTTTCAATTTCAGTTTCTATGACATTAATGGAAAAAACAATGTTACCAGACTTCGCAATGATAAGACTTACTAATGATATAATGCCCCTAATCATACAATAAATTCTGGAATAAAAGATGCTGTATTAGTTTCATATTTTGCAATATTGTCTGAGGAGGTTATTAATTTCATCTATATAGGGATTATCATCGTATTTCAAATCAAATTTATCACCAGCCTCTCGAAGTACAAAGCAAAGACACTCCTGTTTAAATTAGATCTCCTTGTTATAAAAGACAAGCTCCGGTGTTGTTAAGGAGAATATGGAGTTTCTGTGTTTGATTGTCATGAAAATTTTAATTAAAATTGATTATAAAATGTTTTCAGAAATTTGTGAAGAGGACAATCCAATATTGTCAGTTATGTAATTAAAACAGCTGATCACACTACAGCCGGGGCTGCTGTGTGGTTGTTTGCTTACAAAATATGTTAGTTACAGTAAAACCTGACTCTCCTGACCACAGAATCCTGACAGAACTAGTTTGGGTACATTATTGATCAATTGCAATTTGAAAGGATATTTTTGTATTGGTCAATTGTTTCATTGGGACATCTCAAAATGTCAAATTTTCGATTTTTCTTTATGAAAAATGCCTGGATCTGCCCTTGTTCAGCTACCGTGACAGGGATGACTTAATAATATAACAACTATTTGCAAGTTCAATCAAAACTGAGACCTTTATTAATATTAAATATGAGATGTAACTACTTTTCAACTATTTCTTATTTCCTGATTACTTACTCAAGAGTGGGTTTTGGTCTGCCCCCTGGTGGAAACACTTTGACAACAAATCGGGTGTGCATTGGAATGACAACTGGAAAATTTGGAATTAATCGAGGCTCAAATGAATCCATCTTGAACTCTTCCAGACCTGTAAAACAGTGAATCATGCATGTTAGTTTTTCAATTAAGTGAATCCTTGCTAGGTCATAGGGACAGGGTTTTCCTGTTATCTGTCACTGCTGGAGGATTTTACTGATTGGTAAATTAGCAATACTTGGTCATTAAGAATCTAAGAACTGTGGAGGTCATCAATAGTTTGATCGTCTGTCTTCATTGTTTAGGCCTGTCAACTGCTGTTAGGTTTCCTTCACTGAGGCAGTGACTATGACTCTATCTGCAACAGTAAGTTTGCCATAGCATATGACAGAAAGGACAGTATACATTTAAACTAATTATTTCTTCATAAAATATATTTTAATGCTTATGTTTTCACATTTTTGATTCTGCCATCTGTTTGAAAATGTTTGTAAAAAACTATAAATTGTATCCAATTTTTCTTCACTAGATGGTCAATGACTTGATGGCAAATGAATTTTGGATTTCATCTTCTTTCCTGATGATGTGACAATTTGTCAGTGAGATGATGAAGTGTCCCTGAATCAGCAGTCACTGGTTAGGGGGGCAGGGGAATACACTGATATAGAGCAGAATTCTCTGTGTAACATGAGGCACCATTGTGAGGAAAGATCCAGGTTCTGGCAAGTGATGGACAGGTCAATAAATCTACTGATAACCAGGGGAAACTTCATCTTTAACTGTCTGCCATAATTTTATACATCTTAATGAAGCAAATGGGACAATAATCATCTTGTAGGCAGCTAGTCATTCTGACCAGTGCATGACATTTACAAGAAAAGAACTATTGATTTAGCATTAAATTGAAATGAGCTAATATAAATCTATTTGCTTCTATTGACAGCTAGAAAGTGTTAATTTTGCCTGCTTATCCATTATGGTTAATCCAATACTCCATTGATTTGGTAAACAGGTCTGCATTAACAGAGATAATTTGTTGTCTGCCTGTAATCTCTATCCTGACAATGGTCAGAGATGTCAATGTCAAAGTCTTGTGACTCAGGATAGGATTGGTCAAACAAATCGCTTAGTCACACTTAAGGTTTAACTAAAACTCATTGACTAGTAAAAAGTCTCGGCCATCATAAAACAAACCACTGTCCAGATTCTTCTTGCTTGCTTTAAAAAAACATGTGTTAGTGCATATTTGTAGAACTCCAAAGTCTGATGGTCATGCCAGAGTCCGATGGTCTGCGCCAAACCCCGATGGTTTGAATTGCTAAAGTCAATTGTTCAAGCACAGTTGCTAAAGACCGATAACAAATCCCAGTCTATATACTCAAGTGTTAAAGTGTGATTATGGTGCCTTGCCAATGAACAATTTTAAAAAATAAAGATGAAAACAAGGATATTGTATCTCACTAGAGCTCAAAAATCTCAATTAGGAGGCTAACCCTAATCTCTTGTTGTGTGAGACTAACCCTTATTAATCGAGTAGTGTTCAGATCTCTGGAGTAAGTGTGAGACTAACTCTAATTAATCCAATTAATCCAATAGTGTTCAGATCTCTGGAGTAAGTGTGAGACTAACTCTAATTAATCCAATTAATCCAATAGTGTTCAGATCTCTGGAGTAAGTGTGAGACTAACTCTAATCAGTCCAATATTATGTGAGGTTTAACCTTTATCTCTTTCAGGTGGGTTCCAGACTATATAACCCTAAACAGTGAAGTATTGTGCAACAACTAACCTTAATTTCTCAGGTGGGTAGGAAATTAACTTAAACAAGTCAAAAAGTGTGCACAGACTAATCCTTATCAGTCAAATGGTGTGTGAGACTATCCAAATTCAGTCAAATAGTGTGAGAGGACTAACCTGATTTGTTGGACTTTGAAAGCCAGATGACATTAGGACTATTGTGTTGTCATAAACAATGTTTTTCACCCACACCATCGGACATGTCAAACCATTAGACTTTAGCGAGACCATCAGAACTTTGGTATGACCATCAGACATTGGAGTCTTAATATTTGTTTCTGTTAATTTTATAATGGCTTGAGACTCAGGCTAGGTAAATTGCATTTTCATTGGAAGACGACAACCAGACAAATAAATTCATTAAGAACTCCAATTATCTACAGTATCATTTCACTTAATTAATAGAAAATGTCAAGCTAATTCAAAATCATTTCATCAAACACTATACAGTTATCAAACTGTTTAAAACATTCTCTACCTTTCTGCTCTTGAAATATAAAGCATTTTAATTTTTTTATTCTCTTGAAATGTACTCTTACAATCAAGTTTTTTTTTCTGAGGAGGCCATATAAATTTACCATTTTAATCCTCTTAAAAACATAAACCTTATCTAGTTACCAGACAAAATGACAGAGCATTCTGAGAGACCAATCTGGGGCCATCTAAGTTATCATCATGCTTTATCTCACAGAGTAAGGTGTTTGGAAGATAAGGTCACAGATCTGAATTATCATTGGTATGATCTAACTATAGTTTAGCCTCCATCAATCACCTCTGATGAATTGCACCCAAGGTGTTTGAATGGCTATTTGTCAATTTCACCTCTTTGTTCCACAAAATGATCAAAGCTCTATAATCACTCCAATTCTCTTCTCTTGAAATCAATTACAGATTTCTGATTGTACATGCATTAAAAGTACAGAAAAGAGGGATTAGCATTCAATCAAATTTCCTTAGTTTTCCAATACCATATACATATTCACAAAGCAAAATGAATCTTAAGATTTCTTATGAAATAAGGTACATTTTTTAACAGCCTTGAAAGCATTTCCATGCCACTAAAAAGTCTGCCTTCATTTATCACAAAGATCTATCTCACTAAAAATGTGTAACCTGTAATGAAACGTAAATATAACTTCTAAATTTGTATTTGACAAATAAATTACAGTGATTATCACTGTAACCTTCCTGCACTTGCAGCATCTGCCGTTAGCTGCTTAGCAACATTCTCAGCTGTCCTACAATAAATAAATTCAAAGGCAAAAGAAATAATTTTTTTTTTTCAGAGAGATTTTTTAAGAAATTGAATTTGATCATTCTGTTTTGTTACAAGTCTATTTCATTGTAGCATTAGTCAAACCTTTGAAAATATTACTTGAGGTAAATTATAGACATTTCCAGCTGCAAAGAGTAGCTATGGCTACTTTTTATCCCTCTTTCATTGTAAGAAATGGAAGTAATCATTTTTTATCACAAATCTTGACAACTAAATCTTGAAGAATGTTTTATAAACAAGGCAGTTGAAAAAATGACATGGCACGTATATACTGAAAATGAAAATATTGAAACAATCAACAATTGCCTGATACCAGCAATTCAGTATATCCTAAATTGCATTTAAATTAATGTTTTGATTGTAGAGTACCAGTAATATCAGAAAATGTGCCAGGTTTTTTTGGGAATGTCTTAAATGAAAGCTACAAAGTGAGGGTTGCACTTTGGTTCCAAGAATTAATTGTTTTCTATAATCAGTTGTTAAAGAGTTTCACCTTTTTTATCAGTCATTCATCTCTCCCATTCAAAACGATCATAGAAATAGTTTATCAAGATCTAACCACACTTCAAAGACAGCTCTGTGCATATCATCACGGAGGGGGAAGCAATTTCTCTTTAAAACCTTCATAATTCTTCATTTAAATCTTCCGCTGTGAAAGGTGACATTTGATAAAATATTCTCTTGCTTCCTAATAAACATCAATTTCAAAAGGACTTTAAATTCTGATGTACTTGAATAGTGCATAGTTACTGTTTAACTGTGACGTAGATTTGCTCTCAACAATAGTCAATACAGTCTCTTCATAACTTACTATGATTCTGTTCAGTACACACCTCAAATCTGTTATCTATAATGACTTTAATGTATGGATAGTAATTCAATACAAAAATGACATTTTATCAGTGAAAAACTTCATCATTTTACAAAGTTGTTAAGCAATATTGTCCTGATATGTAATTCACTTTGCGTAGAAATTTCTGAATTTTCTCAATTCTTGATCAATTGTTGGTGACTGTTAGAATCTGTTTTGTCAAAATATGCCATAACTTCTGCCTCTATTGATTTGTGCAGGTTATCTTAAAAAGACTAGTGCATCCTGACCCAAAAAATCCCCAGTTTCATATTTTAAGAAAAGAAATTCATTTCTTTTATTCTAGTACATAAATCAGTATCATTAAGATTGATGAGAAAACTAAAATGGCTTCCTCCGTAAGAGAAATTAGAGCACTTTATCCGATAAAAGATGTTTTAGATGTCAGAGGGACAGATTCCATGTGTACTGACATTACCAGAACCCCAGCCTGTACAAACTATCATTCTATACCTATAGACTCTCTAGTCATCCATCTTCTCTGTAACAAGACATATTTTATATCTGTACAAACTTAATAGATGAAATTCTAGTAACTTTGCTTAACTAGAAAATTCCTCTAGTTTTGAAGTGTTTTTCCTCTCTCTTTAGACAATTAATCACTGCATAATAAAGCAGAAATCTGCTGAGTCTTTTAGAGCATGTTGAAGCTAAATTTTCATTCTGGGGGTTCTCTCTTTTCAAAACTTTGTGCAATATGTTTCTTGAAGATGAATGATACATGAAGTCTGAGCCACTTCATTTGTGAAATGCAACGTTACCTTAATGATGCACATTTATAAACTTTGTGAGAGCTTCAATGTTGATGGGAACATGGCATCTCCATCTTTCAGTATGAAAGTTTATATTGTCTATGTTAGAATTTTGACTGTTTTTAATTTAGCCATAAGTTTAGTTTAATTTTTCAGTCAGGTCCTTATGAACAATTGCAGAGTCTGAATTTGATTTAATCAAGGTTTCCAGATTACAAGTTCTCCAAGTCTTTTGGCATATGTCTGATGTTGTTTTGTGGTGGCATTCATTGTGAAAGTTTTTTAGCCCCATGTCAGGTGCTCCTTCAAATACTTCCTTTCTGCAGAGCCAGATTTAAATTTCTTCTCAAAGAGCTCCTGATGTTTTGATTTAAGGTTGCATAAATGTAAACAGTACAGTACAGACGAGAGGATCACAGGCATAGAATAAACATATTACATGTGGATCATGAGCGCAACACCCAATTAAATGCTTAAGCAGTAACTTGTTTAGAATAAATAACAAGTGCTCAAAAGACAGGACAGAAATATTTATTTTTCTATAGCCCTTTATGGCCTATTAAACTCTTAATTTTGTTTTTTCTGTCTACCATCTCTATTTCCACCCTGAGCCCAGAGTCTATAGGAAATGACATGGTTTCAAAGTAATTTCCAGAAAGGAAAATGATTATGGCCTAGAATTTAGATGACTTCAGTAAACTTCATACAACTTCGTCTGTACCTCAGGACATGAGATCAGACAAAAATATGTTGCTAGATATTAGCTGACAATATGTCTAAAAAAAAGTTCACTCAACTCTATCTGCAGTACAGTGGATTTTAGACTTTCAGTCTTCAAGAATAAAGATACAATTTTGAAGACCATTGTTGGTTCATGTGAATGTACATGTACTAGCTCTACTTACTGGCGATGAAAAGCTCTGAAGCAAAAGTTTGGGAGGGAATTCTTCTGTTAGCTCCTAATCCTTCACATCTATAGATCCCCTCATCTGAAGACCTCACTCTTGGGAAGAACAATGAACCATTCCCAAAGACTTGGTACCTGAAAGTGTAACACAACTGTTTTTAATGCTTTCTTGCTTGACAGAATTATATAGAATAAAAAAAAAGTTTGCAGATTTGTTCAAGAAACAGTTGAACATTTTATCTTAAACAGTTTATCTCAAACCATTGATATTATGAACACTACTGATCAGTAAAAGTGAGCTGGAAGTCCAAACCACTCTTTCTATATATGTATTTCTATCTAAATATCTTGAATCATCAGATATTCAGAAGTCTTAAAATTCCTCATTCCCACTGATGTCAAGATAATGAGGTTTGACTGTACATGCCAATTCATGCTGTCTTGTGCAAAATACAAAAAAATCTCTTCCAGACTTGCAGCATAATGGACATACGATAAATAAGTGAAGATTTTATTGAATGTGTATTTCATTTTGGTTTACTTTCACCTGCCTCAGGTTTAAACTTCTATAAAAACAGACACAGAATCTCCTTTACAACTTTTTTTTCTCTTAAAAATGAGTGTGACCACCAAGGGTGCCTTATGGACTATAATTGCCTGCATGCAAGACTGACTAATTACCACCCATAAAAGTAATCACTTCTGATGCCTTGGGTTAATAATCAGCTGCAGTAAATCATAATCTGTTATTTCTTTCATGAAATCCAGAAATGGCTGATTATCCCAGCAGTGGGATGGTGCAGGCATAAGATCTAGTACTGGCATCAGAATTAACCTACAAACTGAAACTGAACTTTTTACTGTTTTCCAACCAGATTCAGGCACTGAAAATACAGTCAAACCTCAATATCTCAATCTCAAGGGGACTGAGAAAAAAAATGAGAGAAAGCTGAGGATTCAAGATATCGAGCACAAAATATTTAAAGAAAAACATGCTTGGTACTTCTAAATCCCTTCGACACATCCATGGTTCTGAGATAAAGATGTTCAACATATAACAAAGTTCATCTATATATTTTGTTAAAAATAACTTTTTGGGGTCCTTTTTTTTTCTTTCTACATTGTATTAAAATCAGAATACTGTAAAAGCTTTGTTTTTTCCTAAGATTAAAATTTGTTCTAAAGAAATTCATAAATCTATCAAAAGATAAAGATAATTGAACATGGTGATAATCCTTTGAGCATTCCAAAATCTGAGAAAATTATTTTTGTTGATGTTTTCAGTTAATAAGGGTACTTTTCTTTCTACAAATTATTTACTGAAAATGTTGTATTATATTAAAGGTTATGAGAAAAAGAACATGTACATTGTGTAGAATTAAAAATAACAACAACTCAGGACTGAACTCTTTACTAATAACTCTCATTTTTTGTGGTCTATATTTTGATAAGTCAATTGGAGCAACTCGTAATTCACAAAAATACAAAAAAACACTGATATAAGACCGACCACATGCCCCTTTGCTCCAAACAACTTATCATCCTCTACACCACAGAAAACACACAGTTATTATTTATATTTAAATTTTTGATTGGTAATCGAAGTCAATATAAATTGAATAAATATAATTACAAAAATATATATATACATATAATTGAAATTAATCTACTGGGCCTAACCGGGGTATATCCTTCAAGTCTTTTATATTAATCTGTTTTTAAGCCCCAACTTCCATATGTCAGAACGTCACTATTAATGTTATGTAAGGATTCTGCAAATGACTTTATATAATCATATAGCATTATCTGACTGACTTATGAATTGCCCAATCAGTCATGTGATTTGTTGTTATCTATCGTTGGATAGATTTTTTTTTTACTTAAGACATAAATACAGTGAAACTTGTCTAATCTGAATGTTGTGTATTCCAAAATCTTGCCTAATACAATGTAAACTTTAAGTCCCTTCTAGTAAATTCAATTTTTTTAAATGTTGTCTAATCCGGCCAATTTCTATGGAACCAGTGGTGTGTGGATTAGACAAGTTTTACTGTATTAGCCATGATCCTCACAACACCTGTATATCACCTAGATGTCTGCTAGAAACTGTACCTGGAACTGTTAGATATCTTTTCATGGAGAGAGAACCAGTCAACTCGAGTTGCATTCTCGAATGGACAATCCAGACGAGCAGGATCATTCCTCAGTACTGTCAGGGATTGTGTGAACTGGCTCTCGATTAGATGAGGAGTATTTGGGGCTGAAATACAAGACCAAGAGGTCATTTCTGACAAATGGGACTAAGTGACATCATTTACCATTATTTGTGATCATGCACTAAGCTATGACGATGAGGGTATAGCATTACATGTAATTATGTGTATATGACTTTAGACTCGGTAATCGTAACACCTGGATCATAGATATTAACTCATTATAGCATGCCACTGTCACATTTTTGTTTGGTTTCATCATAATATGTATCTAGTGTCTTTGTGGGTATAATGTTCCTTTAACAACTGGGGGTAATGGATCTTCCATAAATATAGGGGAATAGAGAGAAAGCTAGGAATGTTTGTGTGTGTTAAAAAAATCTTATATTTTTTTGTACAGAGAATATGAATCGTTCATGATTTATTTTTATCTTAGCTCCTAAAAAATGAATAATCAGGAAATGAAATTTTCTCAGTTTTTAAAATTCTCTGTACTTTTATGTTTGATCATTAATGTGATGCTATAATATGGATATATGGAGAAACTAAAAGGAACTTTCATCAATAAAAAGAGCAAAATATACATATCACTTCAAAAACATCCAGTAATATATTGCGTATACAATCAATTCATATTTTAATCAATTGAGTAATAGTTTACTAATGCAAAGCAATCATATTTGAATTTCATACATTTAGAAAGTCTTTACTGAATTCATAAAGATCAATATTTTGATAACATTGTAACTGAAATATTAAATGTTAGAAAAATTATCTAGTTCATGGTATAGGTGGCCATCTTAAATTATGGATCATATACATAACACTCAAATTTCCATTCAACAGCTGACTGTCAAAGAAATCGAAAAAGATAAATTAAGCAAACATTTCTGAGTGATGGATATGTCCTGTGATATTTTTTAAAGAAACTTTATCAGATCATTTCATCTGGAGAACACTTTGCTTCCTAAATCAGATGACACGATCACACGACAAGTTAAGATCCAATGTCACGTCGAGTGACGGATAATCTCAGGCCTTTATATCACAGTGTTTTTTAACTGAAAAATGAGCCTTACCTAAAGAGACAAAAATCAGAGAATGACTCTAACAGCTTTAAGATCTGACAAACCAATACGGAATTGGAGAATACCGTACACGCTAAATATTTACTTAGTACATTGGTATTAAAAATATCAGAATAAATTTGGTCAGATGGGGTATTAGGTAGTAGAAAAAATTAACTCTGAAATTACAAAATATTGTCAGTGAACATAGTATCCTGATTTTCTTAATCTCTCTATAAATTTATTTTTTATACCTTTGACGTTCAACAGGAAGTTCTCCGAGCTGTAGCGGGCGCCAGCTGTATTTTCTGCGCGACAGGAATAAATGCCATTGTCCTCTGCTGTTACATTTGTAATGCGTACTTTGGAGCCTTTGTCCAAAATCTTAATTCTGTTCTTGTTAAACAATCTGAAATAATGAACAATGCCATGTACTATTTTGTTAATGTCAAAAACTCTCTAGACTCCCATTAAGTCTAATATATGTCATAGCATAAAATTTTACTGGAACATCTCGAAAAAAAAATGACTTCTTCGCTATTTAGTAGTGAAAAAGTACAGATGCAACTCTTTTAACACATACCAATCTTTGAGAACATTATTTTGTTCAATTAAAGATCATTTTTCACACCAACATTTGTTCCACATTTTTACAAGACACACTATTTTTTTAAGCTTCTTTCAGACCTCACCTGATTTTCTATCTTTGACTGTTGGTGCCATAATTTACAATATTGTCATTTTGACTAGACTTACCCATTACTCAGACTTAACAAGCCTCATTCTCACTCTGTATCTTGTAATGTTGACATCTGCATTATTAACTGTCTTACATCATACACATTCTTATTCTTTGTATTTTCAAAAAAGAAACTAAGGAATCAAATTAATTAATGGCTGCTGGCATTGAAAGGGGCACCTAGTTTCATTTCTTAAAAGTTTTGAAAGTTAAAATTTCCAATGCAAAATCATATGAGAAATGTATGATGTATGATTCATGATCAGTTTCACATGAACTTTTTGGTCAAAGATAAGGTTAATTTGTGAAACTTTACCTTATTTTATCATAGAGCAAAAACTGCACACACATTTAAAGTTCTTGAATCCAACTAATTAGATTTCAAACCTTTGGAATGACCAGAAAGGTTTGTGATATGGTAATGTAATAACAGGTGGCTTTGACTTAATAATTGAGATTTTATGGTGAATATTCCAGGGTGTTTACAAATCCAGCTACCTGTATGGGTTCAATACCCTGTGCTTCTGAAAACACTGTCTTACAAGACACATTTTAACACAAATATTTGTAGTTAATCTCATTATTTTGACATTGTGTGCCTGTATACCTCAGAAATACTGTTGCTGCTCAGAAACAATTCAACCTGAGCAAGAAAAATATCTTTCTGATGATTCAAAGTAAGAAGTCAATTCATTTCTCCCAAGCATTATCAAAATAATTCAAAAGCTAAAATAAGGTGCCAAGAAATGACATCTGTGTGTGCTCTGAACAGCTACAGCAGCAGAGAGGGAAATTCCTACAAAGTTTTATCCCCCCTTCACCTATTATTTTTCATCCTATTGTCTGTTGTTGAGAATTCTAGTTCACAATTCACAGATCTTGTTTTTTTCCCCCCAAACTACATTTCCTGAGACTATAAGATGTTGCTGCAAGCGTTGCACTTTTTACCCATTGCTGACAAAAAGCACGTTTTGATTACAGGCTGTGGCCTATTGAAATTTGACATTATTAAATGGCAATTAGATGCCTGTGTTGCATCAGTCTTGTTATTGTAAGCTACAGAAGGTGGCCCTGTTGTAAACAGTTTACATGCACTCTGACTGCTGTCTGCCAACCAAAATCTATCAGCATCCTTAACTTCCACAAGCACGACAGGGACTGCAATCGGACTCCAATAAACTGTTGTTCAATTCTTTGTATATAATGCTTTCATTTATAATTTTCAGTCCTTCAGTATTTTCATTTATATTTTTTCAAAGATAGTATGACCAAAAAAGAATGGCACTTCTACGCATCAATGTTTTAAGTAAATGATCCGTGTCTTTGTTGAGATTAACTTCATGTTGTGCTTAGAGATGCAAGAAATATTTTCTATGACATATCCTGAAATGTTTTATCTTGAACAGCAACTCCGATTCTCATTTTTCTACTGGGATATTTTTAGAAATGGGTTCTTGGAAAGGAAAACATGTAGCATGTGTTGACTGATGACCATTTGAAAGTGTTTTCCACTGAACAAAACCAATCATGCAATGAGATGTACAGGCTGTAGGTTTTCTGAATGCAGCAGTTGTTTGGCATTCATTACATGTGTTAAAGTATTCTAGTGTGTCTATGTTGTAGTGTAAACATTCAAAGAAACATTTTTGTTGTCTTGTTTATAAATAAAGGCATGTTTTCTCTTTTGTGCACAATAAAGGAGTGGGAAATGCAGATGTTCTATGGCAGTATGAGTAGGGCAAGTCAGCAATTCAGTGAAAAAACAAAAGCAGGAAAATGAGAATTAAACTGAAGCTGTCAATTCCACACAACTAAGGGCAATCCGGGGAGTAGAGAAGGCTTAAAACAATCCTATTACAGCTTTATTGTCATTCACCAAGCTTAATTACTTAAAAAAATCCATACTAGTTAAATCAGTCCTCAATCACTTTTCTTACAAATTTAGGAGAAATATTGAAGAATTATGCAGCTGTACTCTCCTTAACTCCTCATCAAAAGTTTGTATGTTCTTGACTAAGGCATCATTATAGAATCTTATGTCTCTAATGTGACAGAAAAATAAACTTCTCTGATTTTCTTTTTAAAGAGTTGATCATCATTAGAGGTCACAGATAAGTTGTTTAAAATTGCAGGTATTCAACTTTCAAAGATCACCTGCCTAATAACAGAAAGCAGAGTAAGAATTTGACATAGAACAACAAATTCTGGGAGACTTCCCAAGTGGAAGCCATGCTGGCCCTTCCTGTGACTTGAATTAATACATTGTACTGAGGTATTTTGTACATTAGTTCCTGGCAAATGAATCAAGGAATGCATAGCTGAAAACAGGGGCCACTAATTCAAAACCTGAGTAAAGTTTATTTTCTTTGCAATGTAATGTAATCAAGGAATTTCCTTTGCCTAAAGAGACATGGATAGAATCCAACCAGCTGTTCCCTTACAGAAAGGGTAGATATCAAATTGTAATCACCAACTCCCAGTCAAAGGAAGAGGAACCAAGAAATGTTACATAAATATATATTTTTGCGCAAAATTGCAACTATTCAATAATTGTTATATAGTTTTATTGACTCTTCTATTTCTATAGCGTAGAGGCTAAATGATTCTAACGCTGCATTTATAATGTCATGTACTTGAATCCATTCAAATGCTGTCAACATTCTAACATCAATAATGCTAAATATTCAAAGTCAATTTTCAATGGCATAATTTCATTATCTATTGATATGAAAAAATTGGCTTAACATTCCAGCATCTAATCCATCTCATCATTTGCCCACAAAATAATTCTGATGAATTGTATGAATTGACTGCTTCAGAACCTTAACTAATTTCCTAATGGAAGTGAAGCAGAATTTTCATTACTTTCCATTACCCATGTTTACTCCTCCAATAGCCCAAGCAGAAAAGCCAGACATCATTGTTAGTTTAAGTTAAAATGAAAATTGGAAATACAGATGTTGAAAATTTATCTTAAGGTAGAGTGGAGGTGCAGTGATTGACACTGTTATAGTTCTCTAACAGGATCATTTTACTTTGATGTGTTAGACATGGAGATGTTTAGGCATTATAGACGCATCATTTCCTTCCCTCTTGCAGGTTCTCACCTTATTAATTTTTTCATCAGGGAGGCTTAAACGTTTGATAGGCATGCTTCATTTGAGACTATCGTTTGAATTTTACAATAATAATCATCTTAGGCTTAGAAGACCAGCACATCAAACACTGCCTTACTACAGGCCCGCATTCCCTGTGAGTCACAGGTAAACTGCATCCTGGGAATGAACGGATCCTTCATACATGTCACGGCTTAATTCAGTATTTTTAAGTCAACACTTTCTCAGCAGATAGACAAACAAATAATTTGCCAAGAAAAAAAGTTTCATGAAAATAGAGATGACGTGAAAAACCTTATAAAAATAAACGTCAAGAGGTTAACAAGTTTAAAGCTGCATGATCGTCATGTTAAAAGCAAATGCCGGAATTTTCTTTAAGAAATCTTGCTGGTGAATTGCTGAGTGATAGCATTTGACATTTTCAGAGGTTGGGTAATTTGTGTAATTGCACAATTCTTGCAAGAAGTCAGCGTAGCCTGTAGGTATGAATTTGTATGTACATCCAGAAATTTTGATGATTTTAAAGCATAGACTCTCTTCGTCAAGCACTTGGGCTCTATGTCAGGTTTAGAGGTTTTTGATTGAGCTCTTGTGTTTTTGCATCATTCATTTACTATATACACTGCATCATATTCCTATAAACAAATAGTGAATGACAGAAGCTAGGGACTTTAATTAACACTGAAAACCCTCCTATGTACCTACTGTAATTATGATGACTTGCGTGGGGAATAAAAACAGACAAGATGGATCAAATAAGGATTAAGAAAATTTGAAAATTAAACTGTGCTCAATAAATCACTGAAGTTACATATCTCAAAAATCCCAAAAAGACATAATTTTAAAGATTTTTAACAATTTTCCCTCCTATACTCTCTATAATAAAAGTTCCAGTGATTTTTTTTAATTACCATTATTATTATTTTCAGAGTTTTATCAAATTATGACATCACTTTATTAACACAAACTAAATCCTTTTTTTTCTGTCTGCATTTTTTCTTTTGCACCAGAAATCATTTTTACAATGTTTGGGTTATCTCTTCAGTCTGCTGCTGCCTTTGCATGCAGTGGACGTTTGTCAAAATACAAGTAATTTTAACAGCTGGAATAATGGTAGCATGGCAAGGTGTTAAAACATCATTCTACAAACAACCCACTGTCATATAAAAACAGCCTACTGCAGAGATTAATATTTTGAAAATAAACTGTAGTAACATGTAGAAAAAATATTTGGCTCTAATTGCATTTTAGTTGGCATTTTTCTAAGGGCAGTACCTTAACATTTCTCTGGCTATGCAGAAAAATCATATTTGCTTGGCATCTTGAATTAAGCACAAGCTGTAGTCTAAGCAATATGCTTTTTAGGACTAACAAATTCCCTCATTTTTCATTTTAAGGATATAGAGGATATTTAATGCTGTGTATTGGATATGGAATTTATTTCGAAAGTGGGACAGGATTTCTTTTATATTTTCACGAGTGTGAAGCACAAGTAAAAATATTTTTAAAAAATCCTGTCTCATGAGTGAAATAAATTCGACATTAAACTACAAAACATTGAATTTTCTGTTTATTACATTTTCTTTGATTTTCCTTTATCTCTGTCTTTTCGTAACACAGTGTCATAGGCTGTGACATCATAGTTGAGCAGTTGAGACAATCATAGCTTAACGATTGTGAGATTGAAAACATTGTAAACATGAATTTCAACAACAGTCATTTTTGAAAAAAAAAATTTGGCAGTTTTAGTCCTGTCAGGATGGTTTATTTACTCTCTCTGCAACAGGCCAGGGAGTAATTTTATACAACTCTTCATGAAGGGAAGGAAAATCAAGAATTTTACCACATTTCTGATACTCTTTCAAACTTTAAAGACAAAATTTATTCAATAAATAAATTACAGTATTTTACTGTTGATAATGTAATAAATTGATATTTCCCAGTCTTAAATAGGCATGGATTCAGGCACTGGGGCTTTCCTGACATCCCCAGCCCCCTCCCCCAAAAAATTCAGATCTAGTTTTCACTGTCTTATACTGATAAGGTAAAGTTAAAGGTAAAATTGCAGTCATTTATACCGTATGTCAAAATAAGGTTTACTAATTGCTGTTTCTCAAGACTTTACTTGGGTTTTGCCCCCTGGCCCTTCTTTTCCCCCTCCTCCGTCCCTGACACTGCCCTGACCTGCTGAGGACCTCAGTGTTACCCAAACCCCACAGTGCCCTCACAATCTTATACTGACCCCTCTAATGCCAAATCCTGGATGTGTGCCTGTTAAAGAATTACTGGAAATTAATATTGAATTCAAATCCTGTTCAGTTAAAAGCACTGACTTTTTCCAATATAAGGATATTTTGTAGATTTTTAACTTGCTGCACAGATCATATGATTAATTTTAAAATATGATTACTTTGCTTGTTTATGAAACATGTAATCAAGCCTTATAAAATCTTTTCTAACAGATGGTAGTTTCTTTTGATCTTGTCAGAGGCAGTATATTTAAAAATTTTGAAAAACAAAGAGGAATTCAAACCTGAACCTCTACTGACGTCATTGACACTATATAACACATAACATACTGAGTGATTTCATCCAAATGTGGCTTAATTTTCAAATCCACTTCAGATGTTGGAGATTTTTGCTGCTTTTGACACTTAAAGATTACTGTTACATGAATCTTAAAATTAACATTATAAATAAAGGAAGATAATGCATATCTAAATTCTGATCTATGGTAAATGTAAATTATGTAAACACAGTCTTTTTAATCAAAATTGTATGAAAAAAAGACACCTATCATCATTGTCATACTCAAATTGAAATTCACTTTCAATAATTACTGCACATTCCTAGCTATATGTGAGCAATGAATTATTGCATAATTTCAAGAGAAGCACCAATTTCGAAAATAAAATTATTCGCTTTTATTGTTATATTGCTGAAATATATGCATGCAAAAACTTGTGAACAACAGTGCTCTCACAAATTCATGTTCTCACTATTTGACATCAATTAGCCATTCCACAATATTAAGTACTCACATAAAATAAGGAATCACATTACCTTAAAATGTTTATAATAGAATGTTAAAATTCCTTTATCATAATTTTAAATCCAAATGACATCTTCTTTTAGTGCTACCAAATGAGCTACAGCGGGCAGGTTAAAGTGTCTGCCTGACTGGGATTCAAACCCAGGACTTCCTGATAACCATTAAGTGCTGACCTACCAAATCCCTGTTATAGAACATTATATCAATTTTCAGTGATCACTAACTTGAACCTGAATGTAATGTATGGTATTATCATGTTGTAAATTTTGAATTTACTAAGGGTAGGTAAATCCAAACTTACCTCCCCGTAGTAAATTCAAAATTTACATGATAGTATCATTGTGGTACCAACAGTAACTTAGTCTAACCTGATAGTATTATCCCAGTTGTTACTTAGTCCAACCAGAATGTTTTGTGTAGTAACAGCAGTTACTTATAGAGTCTACCCTGAATGCACTGTATGTTACTTAGACTAACCTGAATGTGTTTTTCTGTACCAATGGCCATTTAGTCTAACCTGAATTGGTAGTACTAGTGGTCACTTAGTATATCGACCCTTTTTGGGTACAACTGGGAATTTCGTAGTGAAAAAAGTGGCAAAACTTGGAAGTACTGATGGCATATTTTAGAATAAGACTGAAAGATTGTAGGCTTATCCTATTCAAATCTCTATAACTATAATCTAAAATTCAATGTTGTGGATAAAGAGCACTGAAAAATTCAGTCTATTTGTCAACTCATTTGGGAATTATACCTTAATTGGAGGGAAAAAGAGTCAGTTTTGATTTTGGACAGAGTCCTTTTTTTACCATACCTACATGCAATGCTCAGTCTTGAACATGGTACCAGTTGTTACTTAATCTACACTGAAGGCATTGTGGTGTAGTGGTTACTATTCTAACCTGAAAGTGTTGTGGTACCAATCAAACAGCAGCTCTGGGTTTCCAGTTATCTGACACTTTAGGAGAACCTCTGAATTCAGGACCAACTCCTTCGGCTTTGGTCGCTTCAATTCCACTTTGGCAGTTTTATCTATCCCTAAAAGAGAATATAAAAAGAGCAATTTTATATTATGTATTCATTAAGGGCAATTGTATCATTTCATTTTTTTTTTCAATTTAGAAATAACCATGTACATGGAAAATAGTGCCAAGATTATTACTCTGTACAATGAAATATGTTGATATTTAATGGTACTGTATGTGGGGAGAACATAGCAGTAACAAAACTTTATTAGTGAAATGGCATTAATTTGCCTATGTCACACAAAATTCTAATCAACTTCCTTTCATCACTGGCAATCAGTGTCAGAAATACTTGCTCACTTCGATACAGAATGCAAACTGAAATATTAAATTGATGTGAATAACTTCACTTCTTTTAATCCATGCCTAGAAAATGGCTGGTACCTGCATATCTTTCCATTTTTTTTAATTCTAAGTTAAAAAAAATTACAAGAAATAAATTTTTATTATTTTTTAGAAAGATGCAAGCACTTTTCCAACAAAGTTCAAATACTCTTGTTAGAAAGGTGAGATGCATTTAATACTGCACTGAATGAAGCTCCAAGACATCATGGCTATATTGCACTGAGTGCATCATACATTATATTTTGGATTGAATTTGCTAATTAGAGGTTGCTAGTCCTGAAGACAGGTGAGCACGCCTGCAGTCAGATCTTAAGTACACAGGAATGCTGTAATTGGGGGGATTTCATAAAGTGCTGCCCTAAGAGCTCAAACTGCCCCACTCATCATAAATATCATTTACTCTACATCACTATTTTCAGCAGCCTTAGTGACAGGAAAGGAAATGCTGGAGGCATCTGATGCACTGCCACACTGCCAGAGGGTGGGAAGCCTGTACTATACAGAAAATTGTCAGACGAAGAACTGTAACAAACAAGGGACAATGTCTTCAGGGGGGAAAACTTCACTGACAATAGCTCCTCAGTATGTACCAGATGAGGAAGTAAAAAATTTCAAAAAATAGTTGTTTTTCTGAACATAATATGCATAATTCCTCCCAGCTCTTTGAATGACTACCCTATCTATGTTTTGAAAGATGTCACCTAATCTCTACGAACTAATTTTTTTGTGACAGCTGACTTTTAATTCCCTTTCTTAGGCATATGCACCTAAGATGCATTGATATTGGGAACTTTTAGTAACCCTACATTATACCATTTTACATTTTTTGGTCACCTTGGACCATAATATCAATAAATTATTTGTTTTTGTCACATAACACCTTTCATAATCAGAACACAATTCATAATTAAAGAGTTCTTGAGATTTCTTATTTCAACACTTGACAACTACTTCGACCTTACTACCAAAGCTTTAAAAAGTCAAAGAATAGTTTGTGCAGAGGGTTGTTGCTAAGTTTCTAGTCCCTCTGTGTTATCTGCTTCCATTAACATTTTTGATGGCACACTGCAAACATCCAGGTGTAAGAACATGTACCAATTGCTGTGCAAATTTGACACAAACCTCACGAGCAAGACTTTCCAATCGTAAACATACCCTTGAAAACTATTACCAAACCATGGAAATTCTACAACTGTGAAGAAAAGTGGACAAAAGCACACCTTGAAAACTATCTATTATTGAGAAATGTGGTTGTTTTAAGTGACAAGGATACAAAAAGACATTTAAAATGTAGAAGATTCCCAAAGTCCAATGTGTCAAATCAAAACAAGACAGTCACATGACCAGTAAAAACATGACCACTTAATCCTTCTTTAACATTTAAAACTATGGGAGGAGAGAAAAGTATTTGCACTTTCAGAATCAAAATATGTATTTAGTAAAAGGAAAAGAAATTGCATCCAAAGGGGAAAAACATTAATGACGTCAAAGTTGTGTTCTTTCATAACAAAGTTTAGTGTGCAAAGTTTAGTGTACATGTTGGATTTACACACATATACATACACAATTTAAAGTCAACAGTAAAAAACCTTGAGAGAAAAATTGGCTATAAAAGGGATATTAGGTCTCAAACATGTCCCTGAGGTTTCCGCTGGGAAGTTACTATTCTTATATCAAAGGAAATTAAAGTCTCAGTGGAGCTTGCAGAATATGGTAATTATTGGATGGTTCACATGTCCCTAGAAAACAGGCAAGTCTAATAAATCTGCTCCTCAGACAAGCACAAAAACAATAATCATCATAAAAATGTATTATGAGAAATAATATTTCCTGGACTAATAATACTGAGCATTATATCAGTGGCAATCACCACTACGGCCCACTGGTAACCTTTCTGGAGTTTTTTAAAGTGAAAATCACTAGAGATCTGTTTGAAATAATAACCTCTGGAATTTAATGCAATGATCTTTGAAATCATGCTGAAGAAATTTCTGTTTCTGAATCAGTCAAAACTACACTCATATTCTGTACTTAGTATAAAATGGTGATGTCTGATACAGAGCAGCCTGACATCCTCATAAGGTAGTGTTGTTAGAATTTTAAAATTCAATGCAATATTTTACAGAATTTTGAATTTATCATGGCTGCCCCATTAGCTGTCATATTTTTGTCCTCTGCCATGCTAATGGTCCATTGCTTTCCACTTCATGTTACCTACATACTACACCTTAAATTAATGTTGACAATAAGGCCCATTATAGGTCACTGTTAAGTGTTCCTGATGGAGCATCGTATGCGAGAATTCTGACACCACTTTTTAAAGTTTTTTAATGAGCAGGAAAATCTCATTTGCATTAATTACAGAACTCATTATACACATACCTTGTTTCACATTAATGAATTATAGTGTAGGCAACAGAATTAACATTTGCTAATGCATGTGCAGAGAAGATTAATGATGCAAAAGGAGGTGTCATAAAACTCAAAATTCTCATGGTGGGCAACATTCTGTCTTTAATCTCCCTGTGGAGCAACAGATAAACAGATGGGGGTTCCACCTTTCTTGTTTGTTCACAGTGACATATTTGGTTCAGAAGTTGCCCTACATCAGGATTCAATGCCATGACAACCTAAGAGCTGTAGGAAGTCCCCAGGACAACCTCCCCCCTCCTTTATCTCGCCAAGTCATGACATAGAGGCTGCTCTGCTTAGTTTTTGTTTCTGGCAGGTGCTAGTCTAACAGACAGAAGTCAAATCACTTGACCCCCAGAATGGCATGTTTACTCAGCTACAGCCAAACCTTTTTATATCTGCTCTACGGATTTTGCCAAGAATGCATGGAAAAAGGTATTCAAAGTTTGACCACCTTCTATATGAAGTTGATTTTAGAAAAAAAAAATGTGTAAAATGATTTTTCACAGCTGCTCTAGCGATGTTTTACAACCCTAAACTAAAGAAATGAGTAATGATTAACAATCTTATTTGTATTCCCTGTCCTACAGCTGAATCTATTTCTCCAGTCGAATTTCATGGAATGCTTCAGGGGAAAACAACAGATATTTTAACTAGTGAAGAAGACCTCGTAGTAATAGGGAACTGTTGAACAACATGCTGCATACTTTTGTAAATGAATCCTTTTTTTCTAAATCAACAAGCTTAGATTTTCACATCTGTAAACTGGGAGGTAAAAGTTGTGGATGTAGACTTTGAATTCAGGGTGGCACTATCAAATATATTGCTGATGATCAGCAGATCTTACTCAGAAGTCATGTATTTTTTCCTGATATCTAGATACAGAGGCAGAAACAACCTGTGACACTTCAGATACAACCAAAGGTTTTCATTAATAGCTATATGGTGTACTGGCAGACACATTGAACTTATCCATCAGCATATCTTAAAGAACCTGGGGCAACTACATTCTCCCTTCAGATTCAGAGATTTTTTTTTTGGACATAGCGTATTATATTTGAAGGAAAATGGGTGTAATGATAGGGTTTGTACATTAGCTGATCCTTACAAGACCAGAGACAAAAGACAGAGAACAATGTCCAGGGTGATCCCCCCTAACATGGCCCCATCCATCATCCGTAACACAAACTGTTCAGTGGACCAGTGTGGATTAAATCCCTCTCCTGTTCACACAAACAACCAACCACTCTGTCAACTAAAGGTATCCGGTTTCAAGTTAATGCCACTTTTTTTTTTTAAGCATTTGGTGTTTATTTATTTCTAATCAAAATATTTACTTTCTTCAGCCACTGTTAAAGCTTCTGCCTAATTTCAGCATTCAAATTTGGTTATAAAAACTTAACTTCCCTTACCTCTGGCTAAAGTTAACCAATTAGGTATAAGATGGATGAATTAAAACATATTTAATGAACTTTGTACACTTAAGTCTTAACTCACAATAGGATTTTTAACTACTAGCTAACCAGACCAAATACAGATAAAAAAATCTGATTTCCTCTGATGAGGCAGAAATGTCAAGTATAACAGACCAGGGATAATGGTTAGAAGTCTGACTAGCTCCATTTTGTCTTGTTTTCCATCAGCTACTTTAGTTTAGTAGGCAGACATTTACAAGTGTTTAATGGAAATAAATGTTTGACAATGCTGAAAAATACCACAAAATCTAATAATGAATGTGACAATAGGAGATATAAAGAATACCCATGATGCTCTTCATCTGAAGAAGTGGGAACAATTTTGTCGCAAATCATGGCTGTATGGGTTATGAAGTATGGAATTTCAGTGATTTCAATGGTGCCTTTTATTTAAAAACATTACCAACCTCAACCTGTCAGATTCTCAAAGACTCACAAATCTATGATTGATTTTTCTGAAGTAGATGCCTTTATTTACAAAGTGCATGTATTATTGCAGCACCACAACTGCATCCGCTGCTTTAATTAAGGGATATTATCAAATTTTATAGCTCTTAAGAGATGAGCACTTCTTAAAGATAAAATTTGCCAATTAAAAGCAGGGCAAGCATTATTTCGCTCCTTTATCAGTCAGATACAAACTCCAATGTAGGAATTGAACATCTGCCACAGAAAATTGAATCTGAACACCAATGTTAACACAGATCATCAATAAATATATCTATGGGCCATCTTTTGTCTTCATTGATTGACACCAAGTAAATAAATCATTTGTTGTCAT